AGAATTCGAAAATACAATTTGCATTCAATCAGTTTTGAGAAAAGAATTCTGAGAAAGGCAACAGAGATATTTTACACATTTTGAGAAAACCCTCTTCTCTACTGCCTTCTGCGCTTTCATTGCTAGTCACACTTGTTCTTGGAGATAGGCATTCTACATACTTCTATAATTTGTTGTCTCCATTACCCAGGTGTGTTTGTTCTTATTTTTATTACTTTCATCCTTTTTGCATTGGTGGAAAAGGAGGTGTTTTTAATCCCTAGTGTGATTCTAGGGAGGTGTTCATCCTTAGTGGGATTCTAAGAAGGTGTATTTCATCCTTTGATTTGTTCAGAGGAGGTGTTCATCCCTAGTGGGATTCTAGGGAGGTGTTCATCCTTAGTGAATTTCTAAGGAGGTGATTGTCTTTTTAATTAGTTTACTTTTTACTGGTTCTTTTACTGAGTTGATTGTAATTTGTAAACTGAATTTGAAAGATAGTGAATGGGGAGTCACTCTTGTGTTAAGAGTTGACTGGGAATTGGATGTAGGGTTGGTTATACCCGAACCAGTATAAATCTCTATGTGTTCTTATCTTTCCCTTATCTCTTTCTCTTTTCCTGATTATATTATCGTTTTCGCTTTATCTGTGTTCAAACAAATTATTGACTCACAAATAAATTTTTAATTTGACATTTATTTTAATTTGTGCATCTATTCACCCGCTCTAGATGTCATTTGTCTAATATATATATATATATATATTTTATAATTTAATTTTATCCTGAAATTCAATAATATTTTTATTTGATTACATAGCCAATTTTTTTGGTAAAAATCGCGCTAAAAATTATCACTTTTATAGATTAAAAGAGCATCACTAAACTTGCTGAAGAAGAACCTTATTTTTTAGACGAAATAAAAAATATCACTAATATTGAAAAAAACTTTAATTTTTAACATATTTTTATAAAATTATTAATTCATTAAACGCAAGAGTTTGCAAATTTTAAAAAATGACATGTACACTAAAAGAATAAAAAGAAGTATAACAACAACAAAAATGTTCTTATATTTACAAATATAAATAATATTATTGTAATATATTTTGAGAGGGTTAATATTCCTGAAAAAAATACATGATAGTTTTTCTCAGTCGAACTAGCTTTTTAATAGAAGTAAGATTATAATAAAAGTCAAAGTCAAACCATATATAAAATTATACGAGTTTAATTCAACGTTATATAACTTCTGAAGTGATAATATGACTTTTTTTTTCTCAAATAAATTTATATTATTAAGTTTATGCATTAAATATAAATATATATATATATATATTTTTTTTTTTGCTTTATACAAATTTATAAATACATAGAAAGAATGTGTTAGAACAATATCAAAGTTGAGAATAATGACGATCAAAATGTTAATGATAGAAAAAAATTGAAAGAATTAAATATCAAAAGGAAGAGAAAAATAAGATATTGAGTACTATAGCTATAGAAAGATGGAGGGATTTAAGAGTAGAGAAAATCAAAGAATCTTATAATTAAGAAAAATAAATGAGTTATCGAAAGAGAATTCTAAAATTGAGAAATCTAAGATAAGGGTTATAACACCACGTATACTAATGAAATTACTTAACAAGAGAAAATGGTTAATAGAAAAAAAAACCATTTTTATTGGCTTTATTTTTATTATTTTTTTTTTAAAGTTGAAAAAAATAATAAATATATATAGAATCAATTAATTGAAAAACGGTTGCAAAATTATATTAATAAACTTGTATTCTAAAAATGATTGCTGAGAAAAATTATTTTAATGAAATTCCTGATAATTTTTGTCATCATTTTTATTGATTTCCTCTGTTAGTTTTCTTCCCATCATTTTAATTTACTCCACATTTTAATTTTTCTTCCCTTAATTCTCCTCTTTTATTTCTTGAAACTCTATTTTCATCTCATTGAATTTTCATTAAATGATTAAGTAATGTCTTAATAATACTTAAAGTCCAAGTTTACAATCAACATAATTTTATAAACATTTTTATTAAATTAATATAAAAAATACATTCTAAAATTTACTTCATATTAATTATTGAGTAACATATTAGTCAATGTTCTTCTATTTTTGGGTAAATTAAAATTGTCTAAATTAAAAAATTATTATTTGTAAGTAAAAAAAAAAGCTCAACAAACCATTTTTTCGCAATATATATATATATATATATATATATATATATATATATATATATATATATAATTATAACATACCAAATCAAATATAAAATGAAGATGTATGTTGTAATGGTTGTTGAAATGAATTTCACCAACTATCCCTCACACACAAAACCCTGCTTCCCTATCTAAAAAATTTTATTGTGTCCAGAATTTAATGTTATGTATGTTATCATAGAGAAATTGTTAGTGTACTGACCACAAAAATTCTTATAAAATATCTCTCTTTTTTCATATACGGTAAGAAATTGAACTTTTGTTAGTATTCTTGAGAAACTCGTTTGGAATGAAAAGTTCACTCCAATTCTCCTATAAACTCAAACCCTAGGTGGTCAAGTACTTGTTAGATAAATATCTGCAGCACACAGACAAGCATTCTCTGTGAATGACAATTTGATGGAACACCCTTTTAACTTGAACGAGCACCTGTACCTAGCTAGCATTAGTATTCAGACATATAGCTTTCACATGAACACAAACATGTAATGGAAAACTTAGGCCGAATGCAACATCTAAATTCCATTGTAGGCTAAAGAATGAAGATGGTTCAGTAATTTTGCATGTGATTGAGAAGGAAAGAGAGAGATGAGAGGCATTTACAATCACTGTATATTCATAAGAGGAGTTCCTAAATTTGTGGGTAAGATGTCTTGTTTAGGGGTTGTGAGATGGATGGGTCTGATATACACACAGAGAAACCAGTGAAGTTTTTGGATGCAGTTGCAGAAGTCCACATGGGAAGAAACTGTCGTTTCTCTGTTCACTTCTAGGGTTACGTTACATAGAATAGGCCTGTAGAGTGATATTATTCTGAGGAGCATTCGTGGAAAGTATTTGCTGTGAAACAAATTTTGTTTTGTTTTAATAGTAAATTCAGTGGACGATCTTAGTAATAGAGTTTGTCGGATTAGCATCATAGCATGAACAAGATGAGTTTCTAGTTACATAAACTGGGATGAGAAAAATAGGAATTCACTGTTTTAAAGAATCACAAGTTTATTTGAGAGAGAAATTCCTGTGCATTAGGGGGTTGCCATTGTCTGGGATTTTTGTTATTCAAGATTGGTATGCCAGGGTGTTTGTTGGGAGTATATTTGCATGGTGCCAAGTTCCTATGATCACCACCTCATTTGCAGTATCTGTCATCTCCCTCTCTCATACTGTCTTTTTTTTTTTTTTTTTTTTATATATATATATAGATACACTTATTCAGAAGAAAAAACAACCATTATTTTAATAAGAAGGGTATATGAAAATACTTTTCTTATTATTAACAATTCACTTTTAGATAAATAATTAATATAGATAATTCTATTAATTCCTTAATTCGCTTTAAATTATTATTATGATTTTTATACGATAGATTAAAAAGAAGAGAGCATATATAAGTTATTATTGACATAAAACTGTAAATTATGTAAGACTAATAACAATATAAAATAAATAATTATAATAAAAAGGACCGCTAAGAGCATAAAATGAATAATTATAATGAAAATTACAAATTTAAAATATATTAAAAAATATAAGATAAATAATTATTAAAATAATATGAAAATATAATAAAATGATTATTATTTAAAGTTGATATAACTAATATAATATAAAATGAAAAAAAAATATATCTTTTATAAAAATTATATTAAAAATTGATCTTTAAGTTTATTTTATCAAAACTGATTCGATTCTAAAATCTAATTGATTTTTTTTACTTAATTTTATCTTGATTTAATTAAAATTATTTATTTTTTAAAGCAATATATAAATTTTTAGGTCAATTCTCAAGTTCGAGGTATTGTCTACTTTGAAATTTTTGTCCGTCATTTTAAAATATGCTTCAACAAGTTAAGAGATAAGAGTGTATCTAAATTATCTTTAATATCGACTCTTAAGCGATGTGAGACTTATAAATATACCGGAACATAAGTCATAAAGTCAAGGACTAAGGGGTATGTATGATCGAGTAAAACTCTATTCTTGGGCCTATTGTGGGTGTCAATGTTCAGTTTAAGAACGAGAGAGTCTCAGCTTCATGCCTATGATGACATTATTAGGATTAATTTTCATATCCGAGCTCTTGTCTGTTTTGGAGCTCTTATCCGTTACAGTTTTATCTTTAAAATATATCTCAATGGGTTGTACATAAACTACCTTTAATGACTCTAAATGACGTGAAACTCATCAGTGCAATGTAACATTATTCATATATTCGTGTAGCAAATTTTTTATTTTATAATTTAAGATGATATATTTAAGATAAAAAAAATAGAAGAAAAGATATAATTAAGTGTGTTTTAAAGAAAGAGAAAAGTGATACGTGTAATTGATAGTATTCTAAGAAAAGAAATAAATAAATGTTTTTTATTAATTATAAGAGAAAATATAAAAACATATAAAAGATATTAAAATAAATAAAATATTAAGTGATGACAAAAAAACTAGTTACACAGTAAATATCTTTGGTTGTCGATGTATCAATATTCTATTATATATGTGTGCAATAGGAGTTTTTTTATTTTGTAACAAAGAGTAGTTATCTATTTTGTTGCATAGTTAATTATGTCTTATAGGTATAGAATCAATAGACAAAACAAAATGCTAATCATGTTGGTTTAATAATTAAAGTAGATAAATAGAGAAAGTTGAAAAAAAAAACCTATATAATGGTTGCATGTGAAAACATTGTATATTGTTATTAATTTTTTTATAAAAATAAAATTTATATTAAAATAATATTTTTATTGTAAGATTTTTTATTAGTGTTTTCTTTTCAAATATTACAAGGAATAGTTTTGGTAAGGTTTGGAATCACGTCAACTGTTGGAAATGATCCACACACGTACTAAAAGTTATTAATTTCTCACTATAATTATTATTCTCTTCTAATCAATATCTTTAATTTTAACTTAATAGAGAATACTAAGCGATCATAAAAGGATAAAAAATGAAGTTATAAACTTAAATATAGTTTGTATAATTTATATGATTAAAACAAAATAATTTGGTTAAAAAAAACTACTTATTATATACTATTTAAGGTGACATAGACAAATTATTAATATATTTTTAACATTCATCTTCATTGAAACGGAAATAAATTTGTATAAAAATGTCAATAAATTTTTTCTAAAAGTAAAAAATACTTAGAATTACTTTTTAATATCTTTGTAATAAATGTATTTACTTTCCTCATTCAGAGCATTTATTAGATGCAATAAAAAACCTGAGGATTTTTGTATCTATTTAATGTCTACTTTACCTTGACTTAAACGGTTTTCACACGGCTTTGACAGATATTAATGAGATTAGTATATATAAGAAAGTTTTTAACGATAATTGATTATGTATAAAATTAAATATTTTATTATGATATTATGAATGAGTTATTTAAAATTTTATCAGAATTATTTATATAAATAATATTTTTTTAATTCTAAGTCATTTTTTCTAAAAAAAAAACAATAAAATTTATAATAAAATATTTATTTTTATTAGTAACTCCATTTGACAATTCTTATACTTGCATTCCTCTCCTTACTTTTTACCTTAATTATTTCCACGCAGAAAGTAATTTTTTCAAGAAAAGAAAAAACCATTCCCAAAAAGATTTCACAAACCAAACCAATCGCAATGTAATATCATTACTAAGGTAGAGCTATTTAAAAAGTCAGAATTTGACCTTAGATAATTGGTCAGAATTTGGCTTCCTGAACCTGAATGTTGACATTGTTTTTAAATAAATATTTATTTGCTATTATTGTGGATTTAATGTTATTACAATATATTAAATTTACATAAAACAATAAAAATAAACTAATTTAATATATTTTATAAATATAAATATAGTATATAATAAATTTAGTATTGATAATATCAGTGAAATTTATTCACAATATGAAATTTAAAATTTTTAACAACAGTGAATTTCAAATTTTTAATTAAAATAATAATAAATGTACTTACTTATTATTAAAATCACATAAGTCAAAAAAACTAAAATATATATTTTTATAATTTTTACTAGTATTATTTTTAATTTTATTAATTGTCGTTAAATAAATTAAGAACGACACATAACTATAACTATGTCTTTAATAATTAAAAATGTAGGAAAAAATAGAAATTGTAAAGTACCTTGTATATAAAGATCAATTTTTTTAAAATACTGCCTTTTAAGAAAAACGGAAAAAAAGTATTACTTTAAGTGATTAAATTAAAATTTAATATTAAATCTTGCATTTATTAATTTCTTATTAACATATATTTAAAAGTAATAATAATCATTATTATTAGCAATAATTCTTAAATTTTCTTTAAACTAATAAAAATATTATAATAGTTTATTAATTTTAAACAATAAACAACTTTTTATTATTTTAAAACAGTTGAAAATTTTCAAATTAATTTACGTATCCACTTTTCATCTCAGGCATTCAGAATTTGTTTCTTTGAAAGTCGAATTCTTTAAGGTGTGTTTGGTTGGGGGAGGGTGGGGATACTGAATTGCATTAAAATTATGGAAAAAGATATTTTGACACCATTATTCACACAAACAACTAGGTAAACAACTGTATTTTATATTATAATAATAATTTTAACTATTTTTTATTTTTATTTAACTATTTTTTATTTTTATTTAAACAACTAGGTAAACAACTGTATTTTATATTATAATAATAATTTTAACTATTTTTTATTTTTATTTAACTATTTTTTATTTTTATTTAAATTTTTTTATGATTATTATATTAATAAAATGTTTTATTTTTATTTAAATTCTTTTATGATTATTATATTAATAAAATGGGTTGTTTTTTGGGTTGTTTTTTCTTTGGGTCGTCAAAAATCATCACCCTAAAATTATTGTGCCACACCTTCACTGGATCCGCGAATATGCCTAAAAAGAAAAAAAAAAACGGTCTACTCAATTTATAAATAATAAAATGATTATTTTTTAAAAATAGAAAATGAATAAAATGTAAATAATAAAAGTTAAATAAAATAATATTACAATTAAAATATTTTCTTGACGTTTTGTTTTTGTTTTCTTCTTCACTTAAATAATTTTTTTACCTTTTTCACGCATTCACTTTCTATTATTCCATCCAAACAAACCATATGTAAAGAACAAAGGTGGTTTTTTTGACAATGAGTTTATTTATTAATTTTTTTGTAAGCATTAATTAATTCATTTATGGCAATTACTACAGCAGCAGTTATCCTACAAATAAGCTATATAATCGTGTAATTGTATCACTCTTTCCGCGTCGAATCAAGGCACGAATCTTTTTCTGTTCTATCTTCTCTTCAGGGGTTGTCTGGAAGAAGAAGAAGAAGAAGAAGAAGAAGAAGAAGAAGAAGAAGAAGAGGAGGAGGAGGAGAGCATGGAGCCAGAGAAGAACCCTAATCTCAAAGACTGGAAGCTACGGCGGCGCGTGGATTCGTTCAATTTAGAAGCTGGAACTGGAATACTTTCTAAGGTTGCACACAATCCCAAAAGTCATTGTTTACTGCGATGAATACATTTACTTTCATATTTATTCATGAGTTGGTTTATAGCAGGTGCGTTGGACAACGACATTGAGCTTAGCATTTCAAAGCATAGGGGTTGTGTATGGTGACATTGGTACATCACCTCTTTATGTGTTCTCGAGCACCTTCACTGACAAAATCAAGGACCCTGATGACATTCTCGGAGTCTTGTCCATCATCATCTACACCATCGTTCTCATACCCTTGATCAAATATGTCTTCATCGTATTGTGGGCCAACGACAACGGCAACGGTAAGAGATGAAAATAAGTACCCTACATTCTGCATGTTTCATGATCATCATCACCATCTTCATAATATTCCTAATAATAAGTTTCTGCAAAAATATATATATTTGCAGGTGGAGCGTTTGCGCTGTATTCGTTATTATGTAGACACGTGAAGATCGGTTTGATTCCAAATGAACAACCAGAGGACAGGGAGCTTTCCAACTACAAACTCGAAACGCCGTCGCCTCACGCTAAACGCGCCGACAAGATAAAGCAGAAGCTTGAGGGAAGTAATTTTGCGCGGTTTGTGCTTTTGCTTCTTGCTATAGTGGGAGCTTCGATGGTTATAGGAGACGGGATTTTTACGCCAACAATGTCAGGTACCCAATTTTCTTATACTTTTTTTCTTGTTTCCCGATTATTGGTTCTAACGATCTCGCTCCAGAACAAGACGTTTAATCTGAAGGTAACAAAAAATATGTAAAACAAACGTTAATTGTAAACTAATGACCAAGTGGTCTGGTCTGATACTACTATGTTGTTTAATGTATATGCAGTCCTTTCAGCAGTCAGTGGGATCAGTACAACATTAGGTCAAGGTGTGTCATCAATGTCTTACCTCTTTTGTCCGTTAAATGCTATTTTTTCAAACCCAAATATAAATGTCATTTTTACTGTGTCTGCTGCTTTTATTTTATTTTATTTTTCAGATGCTGTTGTAGGAATCTCAATTGCAATTTTAGTATTCCTATTTTATGGGCAACGATATGGTACTAATAAAGTGGGATTCACATTCGCTCCAATAATTTTGGTGTGGTTCTTGTGCATTGGTGGAATTGGGGTTTACAATTTATTTAAATATGAAATTGGAGTATTACGTGCCTTTAATCCAAAATATATATTTGATTTCTTCAAACGGAATGGCAAGGAAGGATGGCTAGCGCTTGGTGGAGCCTTTTTGTGCATAACGGGTTAATAATTTCTACCATCTATATTCTTAATATTTTCTAACTCAGTTATATCAACCTTTGATTTTAATTAAGATATACGTGTAATTTCAGGATCTGAGGCCACGTTTGCTGACTTGGGTCACTTCAATGTTCGAGCCATTCAAGTAAGAAAACATTTATATTTGTTCTTGTCATCAATTTCTTCTCAGAAATTGTTTCTGCTGCAATTGATTCTTTAGTTGCGCTTAAATTGATTCTACATTATTATAATGTGTTGCAGATAAGTTTTTCTTGCATCACATGTCCAACAATTTTGATTGCATACATTGGGCAAGCAGCATATCTACGGAAGTTCCCTGAGCATGTGGCCACTACTTTCTACAGTAATATTCCGAGTATGTTGTTTAACTTTAATGGAAAATTGTATAAAGTTTAACTTTCTGCAATATGTTTTAATATAAAGTTTTTATTTTTAGATTTTTCTTTTCTTATAATATATGAAAAAAGTTGTATAAGGTTAAAATTCTATGTGATCATTAAGATGTGGAAGCCCATTTCTGATGAAGATATTCGATTAATGAATGAATTTGTTGTGAATAATAATTAATGGTGAATAACATGCAGAACCCATATACTGGCCAACATTTTGTGTGGCTGTTGCTGCTTCGATTATAGCTAGCCAAGCAATGATATCAGCATCGTTCTCCATTATATCCCAGGCCCTAAACCTAGGTTGTTTCCCAAGAGTAAGGGTAGTGCACACTTCCGTTAAACATCAGGGTCAGGTGTATATTCCTGAGGTCAACTACATATTCATGATTGCATGTATTGTGGTGTGTGCTGCCTTCAAGACTACAGAGAAGATTAGCCATGCATATGGTAGGTGCTAACTTGCTTTTATGTGTAAATTCTTAAAGATCGTTATGTTAAGAAAGCATAAAGGAGAACTGACTGATATATACGCATATATATACCTTTGTGAATGTATACAGGGATTGCAGTAGTTGGTGATATGATGATCACGACAACTATGGTTTCTCTTATAATGCTTGTTTTATGGAAAAAGAATATATGGATCGTGGGTCTGTTCTTTTTGGGATTCGGTTCCATTGAGCTAGTTTATTTCTCATCTCAACTCACCAAGTTCGTAGGAGGAGGGTATCTTCCAATTGTATCAGCCTTGTTCTTGACTGGGATGATGGGAATCTGGCATTATGTGCACAAACAAAGGTACATGTTTGAACTGAAAAACAAGGTACCGATTTCATATTTGAAGGAATTGGCAAACAACCCAGATGTAAGGAGAGTTCCCGGAATTGGACTTTTGTATTCAGAGCTGGTGCAAGGAATTCCTCCAATATTCCCACATCTCATAGACAGCATACCATCTATCCATTCAATTCTAGTGTTTGTGTCCATCAAGGCTATTCCAGTGAGTAGAGTTGAATTGGAGGAGAAGTTTTTGTTTCAACAGATGGAACCAAGAGAGTACAGAATATTTCGTTGTGTTGTGAGGCATGGTTACAGTGACGTGCTTGAAGATTCTGCGGAGTTTGAGTCGCAGTTGATACAAAATCTGAAGACGTTTATTGAACAAGAGAACAATTATATGGTGGAGGTGGAGGTGGAGGTGGAGGGAAGTGCAACTGAAACTACAACTCAAGAAGAGGCACAGGTTGAGAATGGTGATCAAATAGCAGGAGTCCCTCAAACGCAAGCTGAAGACAATCAATTATCATGGTCATTCGGGGGGACTGAAAATAACAGCACCAAGTCATCCATAGCTGAAGAGGAAGTGAAATTCGTAGAAAAAGCGTTGGAGAAGGGCGTGGTGCATATGCTGGCAGAAGCAGAGGTTGTGGCTCATCCAAATTCCTCCATCTTGAACAAGATCGTTGTGAACTACGTCTATAGTTTCTTCCGAAAGAACTTTAGACAAGGCCTGAATTCCATGGCATTTCCATCTGACAAACTTCTCAAGGTTGGAATGACATACAAAATATGAAAAACTTGTTAACGTGTTCTCAAAATTTCCCTTGAAAAGCCTATTTTGTGAGAAATTTTGGACAATGCTAAATACCTTCCAAAAGGGTTTTCAAGATATATGATGTGAGAAAGGCCACTCTGAATAAATATGCGTTTGTTTAAAGAAATAACATGAGATGAAAGGCTCTTACTTGATTCTATACCACCTTTCAACTAATCCTGATAGAAAGTTGTTCCTAGAGCTGAAATTATTATTAGACATTAATATCTTTTCAATAATACCATATAAATAGTATTTCCAATCCTATATTTTTTTTTTCTAGTAATTACGTTTAATGCTTTACAAAATTAATATATTAATTTAACTCATTAAGATTCTATAATTCTAAAGATTTGTAATAAAGTGTAAACAGTTAAATCTTACAAACATACCGTGTACCCTACCACTTTAATTTTTTTAGTTAGCATTCTTTTCTTATGTGATAAAACTCTTAATTTTGATTCTTTCTTTTCTTTATATAGGTCTTCAAAATATAATGCTTGACCTTGTAAGAGTTAATTTTAAGAAGTTGTTATTTTGTCTTCTTCTTAAGTTTTAAACCTTCCTCTACTTCATTCAGTGTGTTGTAGAAGCTTTCAGTTATGCATTTAATGTTTTTCTTGTAATAATTGAGAAATATCAAATTTTAATCTTCTTTTTATGATGACTTGTATTTCTTATATATCAATTTTTTATAAACTTTTTTTTCTCTCCAAATATCACTTTGTTGTTCACAACAACAAAAATTAACAATGACTTCTCTATGTCGATAATCTACTCTCTCTCTTTTTTTTTCAAAAATATTAAATACATAATAGAATAAACAAACAAAGCACGTTATGTTTTACATAAAAACAAAAAGAAGCAATCAAACTTAAAGGTTAGACGAGGAATATCTATCATTTATTTTAATATATAGAAATGAGTTGGAAAAATACAAGTACAAATAAATTATATACATTGGATATAAATGTTTTAACTTGAAGATGTTAGAAAGAATATATTTTAGAAAATGTTAATAAGTCTTCAAAATTCATGAGCTTAGAAATAAACTCCTACTTGTCCGTGTTTAAAAAAAGAAAAGAAAAAAAGAAGAAGATAAATTTCAAGGATAAATGAGAATATATAAAAGATGAAAGCCTCAACAAGCTAAGAAGAAATAATTTAAAAAAATAATAATAAAGCAACAAGATTATATATATATATATATTCTTTAATAAATTAAGAATGCAACATTATCCAAAATTACTAAACTAAACTAAAATACTAATTGTATAGCTTTTTAATAAATTAAAAATTGAGTTTAAGTAAAATATTGATTTCTTACAATGAAAAATTATTAGTTAACTATTCATTTTCTTGAATATCTCCTTATTAAGATATTCTTCATACTAATTATTTTTAAAATATTATAAATTTTCTATTATTTTCTTATCAAATAAAATAATTTTCTTAAAAGCTATAATAATTTATTGTCAAATAATATTTTGATATTTAAAAAAAAATCCAAAGATATTTTTTTTTTGCGGTTATGTAGTTTGATAAATTAATATATATCTAATGATTGCGAGAATATAATTAATATAATTTTTCAACTTAATGAAGAATAATTTATACTAATTAAAAAATATATCATTCAAGACATTAAAATTATAGAGTTTAAAAATTACAAATAAAATTTATGACATTTAAATTAAATATCAGATTTATGTGTCAAAAATAATTTGTGACAAATATATTTTAAATAAATACTGATATTTGTCTCAAAGAGAAAAATATAATTAATATTAATTATATTTATATTGATATTAATTACTTATTTTAACATATTATACAATACATCTTATTAATTATGCACTTCCTTAATTATATTATTAATTATAATTAATATTAAAATTAACATGTTATAATTAAATTAAGCTGCTTTTCTTCATATATAATATGTTTGAATCATAATCAAATAGAGTTCATGTTTAAACAAATAACCATATTAAAATTTCATATCAGATTTAAATGCTTGGCCCTGATACGTATTTTCAAGATCCTCTTAGTCAAAAACTACACTGACTACATTTACGCTTAGGACATATATGATGGGGAAGAAATTGATCGATAATTTTGAGTTAAATAACATATAATTAATAAATAATGAGAAAATATAAATGAAATATAAAATATCCTTTTATTTAAGATATTTAATATCAATTGTTTTGTAGTATGTCCTAGAATCATGTTTGTAATTAAGATTAATTTTTATGTGTTTGAAATATTGTCTCTTTAAAATTATTATTTATTATAATTTTATCTTTAAAAAATATTTTATGAGAAAAATATAAGACTGATGAATATATCGAAATATAAATCTCTTAATTCTTAAAAAAAAAAAAAATATATATATATATATATATATATATATATATATATATATATATATATATATATATATATGAATAAAAGAAGACTCAATCATTAATACTAATATTCCATTTAAATACAAAATATTTTAATTTTATATCCATTATTATAATTTCATTAGTCAATTTATTCGTTTATAAAGATTATATATCATAAATAAATGTACCCCGTCTTTATATTTGACTTGGTCAATTTACATACAAAAATATACATAGTTCTATTATTGGATGAAATTGAGCAAGTGAACCAAACGTGACAGCATTTTCTGTGAGAACAACAGTGCATGTTTGTTCTAATAATTGTGCTTCATTTTTCTGATACATCAATTGTTAAATTTATCGTTGAATCTTAAATCATTAGAACAGACGTGCTTCAAGGATATATCCTAAAAACCCTAATAATAAAAAAATATATTTAAGCCTATCACGTTCCAGGTATTAAAATTTATTTGACCATTAATTTTCTTCCACAAATTTATTTAAGAAAATGTTGAGTGTAATAGCCTGCTTATAAATTAAAAAAAAAAAATGATGTTGAGATTTCTATTGAAAACAATATTCAACGTCGATTCTTAAGGGATTCTATATGAGTTCCACAATTAACGTTGAGATGTATTTATGTGTTTTATTATGGTAGTAATATCAAACATTAAAGAAAATCCACCTCAAAAAATGTATATTGAAATTCTTATTTTCTCTTTTATATTTTTGCTTTTCTTTTCCTTTTAACTTTTCAGTTAATTTTAAATTTGTTTCTTGATTTTAAAGAATTGTATTGGAAATAGAAAAATAAAAAAGTTTTAAATATATTTATTGTTTACAAAAATAATGTGTTTTAATTTTGGTATGTGAATAAACTTTTTCTTATATTTCATTCCTAAAAACTTTAAATCATTGATTTTTTTTCTTATGAACCCAGTAGAGGCAGGGCACAGAGACCAATATATATATATATATATATATATATATATATATATATATATATATATATATATATTGGAAGAGTAAATTTATAGAAGGAAATTCAATTTAATAAAAAAATTTAAAATATTTTATAATAACTTTTTTAATATTAATTGGATTATTATTGATTTAATTTATTTCATCTTAATCTAATTTAATCCATCTTAATCTAACTTAACCCAATTTGATTTGATGTGAGTTTACATGTGTTAATTTGATTTGATCTTTCACGAAAAATCAACTACCTAAAGTAAGTTTGAACTTAGTTGGACTTAATTCTTCATAATTTAATCTTATAATTTTGATATGTTTTATTTTAATTTAACGTATTCTATCTCACCTTATCTTAATTTATATAGTCTTATTTCGACTTATCATATATAATTATGATTTCATCTAACCATCTTAATCCAACTCACCTTTATTTATTTTAATATGGTTTGACTCATCTTAAATGGTTAAACTCATATTAACATCCTGACACAATTTATCATAATTTATCTTATTCCAATTCAACTTGACTCATCTCACTAAGGTAAAAAAAGGCTTCTACATCACCCAATTGTCGTCGCATGTAAAAATATTTGACGTAAATAAAACACGGTAACAATTTTGTAAATAAGAGACAAAACTTTTACGTCACGTGCTGGTATACGCGACGTAAATTTGTGTTTTTTTTTTTTGAAAGTTTTTACGTCTGTTTAGTGGTATATGCAACGCAAAATTACGTCAGGTCTTGGTAACTAACGAAAATTTACGTCGGGTTAAAGGATCCAACTAAATTTACGTCTCCCATTTTAACGTCAGTCTTAAATACAATATAAAAAGCCCTAACTATCTTACATAAAAGCCCCTTTTTGCATTAGGATCTTGACCCAATTTGTTTTAATCCAAACCTAACCTTTCCTAATTCTACACAATTTACCTTGACTAACTAACCTCATCCCTGATTTGACACTATGATCTAATTCGATCAAATCCTTCATCATCTATAATCGATCTTACCTACATGATTAAGTATTTTGAGTTGGATTTAACTAATTAATATAATAATTTTTGTAATTAATACTAATAAAAATATTATATTTTAAAAAATTAAAATTTAATAAATTTGAATTATTTTATCAAACCAAATCATTTGAAAATTTAATATAATTTAAAATAAAAATAATTTAAATTTGACGTATTTAATTTTTTGTAAAACTATAAAACACCTATTCCAACATAATGTAAGAGAAGATAAAATTTTTGGAGTGATCATCACATCCCATGTGACCTTCTCCTTCCACCCCTACCTATAAAGTGAGTGATTCTGTATTTTAGTTCCAATAATATTTTTTGAAAGGGTTAGACCTTCCAAAATCTAAAAACACTATTTTCGTTAAAAAATAAACAATTATATTAAATATTTTTGTAGTGATAATGATTTTACCGCAAAATAAAAAGTTTAATATCAATTTCCACTATTTATTTTCAATTTAATCTTAATATTATTAATAATATCAATTTGGTCATTTTTTTAAAAATGAATAATGCAATTAATAATATATCACATTGTATAGATCTACAGATAAATTATGTAAATATGTATAAAACACTTTAATGGAATTGATGAAAGAGATTAAATTAATTCAATAAAAAAATAAGACTAAATTAATTCGTTAAAAGAAATGAGGCCAAGTTATTTCTAAAAGAATTGAAGAAAATTCACACTAAAAATAATAATGGAGCGAAATTGAAAAAAAAAATAAAAAAATACTAAAACTGTAAAAATACTTTATTTTATTCCATATCCAAAACAACACCGTAACAACATTTGAGTCCATGATTAAGAAACACATGTGGCTATAATTCATATAAACTATTTAATTTGGGAATAAACTTCATTATTACTTTATCAATCAATATTTCTCTTCTCCTTTTAAAAAGATAATAACATTTACGGTTGATATTTTTTTTAAATATAATGTTATATACAAATAAGTATTACTTAAACCCAAAAATTGTTAACAAGCATCACATTACAATAGGAGCCAAAACACAAAATTTCAAGTTTTATTTTTTTTTTATGGTAGAAAACAAAAAAAATTATATAGTAACTAAAAAAGAAATTTTATTAATTTGGATGGGTGTGATTTTTTCAATTCTTTTATACAACTCGATAAAGAACTTATTAGTTGGCCTAGTAATTTATGCCGTTAAAATGTGCAAATAATATATTTCAGTATAATTAATTTATATGAACTAAATAAAAAAAATTATAATACATAATTAGTAATAGATAAAATTTACATAGTTAATTTGGTTTGATTTCACCAAATTTGTGATTGTAATTGTAAATAGTTATTAGCATATTTGGAGTTGAATATAATAAAATTAAATATTTATAAAAATACAATTTCTAAAATAATTGCCTTTCGTTATATCATGAAAAAAATAAAAAATTAGGGAATTAAAAATAAATTCATGAATTCATGTTTTTAAGAATAAATCATAATTTGATAAAAGTTTTATAATAAATAATACCTCAAATGGTTTCAAACTCTAATACGGTAAAAAAGATTGAGACATTCTAATTCTACATATTTTTATAGATTTTAATGTGATGGGAAACACATTAAGAACAAAATAAATATGTATTTGGATCAAATTTCGAGGATCTGTTTTATTTGTTACAGAAGAGCAGTGGTCATTAAATGCAGACATAAACACAGCAATGTTAGCTAGCAGCTGCTGCAGACAGGACAGTGCTACAAACAAGACGAGTTTTATCTCCCTTCTCTTTTCCATCTTTCTCTGTGTCTCTCACCTTTCTCGTGTATTTTTCCATTCTTCTTCTCTGTCAAAACATATTATTATTATTATTATTATTATTATTTTCTTATTATTTATTTCAACCATTGCAGATGAAGGCTTACAAGCCCTGCATAACTTTCGGGCATTTGCATGAAAATTTTCAAAAACCGCGTGACCACACAACAGAAAAAAAAAAAAAAAAGTCATCGCGCACACACACAAACACACATGCTTGGAAAATAGCTGTATGGTTGGTTGACCCTGCCTTCTAAGTAGACTTTATCATTGAATAAGCCAAGGTGGAGTAAAGGGTGTTTGATCTTGTGCCTATGAATACTCCTCTATAGTTGAACAATTCAAGTTCATCATAGCCTAGTTCCTCTAGTTGAGCAGTTAGTTTATTCACTTCTGGCTATCTTTTCTAGAACTGCTTAGTTCTCATAATCTTACCTTCTTAAAGTTATTATATTCCAGATAAGGATTTTCTTGGTGAGATTTGGAACTCATGTGGCACTTCATGGCTCTCTCTCGTGTACTTGCTATACTCATTCTTCAGTACTCATTGGTAGAACTGGCTTCTTCAACTGGACCACCAAGTGGCTGGAAAACATTGCAAGGTGTGTTTCTATTTCTTCTTCCATTTAGTCTTGTAGTGTTTCCTATGGTCCCTATTCATCTTCTTGTTTGCTACTTTTGTGTGGTTGCTGAGTCTCATGCTTCAAAGGAAATTGGGTATTTGATACTCGTTCTAGAGTTTCAGACTTTTTTACTCTTGTTTAATGAACTAATTATTTCAACGTTTTTAAACCTTTTTGAGTCTTGTTACTGCAATTAACATAGCAATTAATAGTCATCGGTTTCTCTACCTCAAAAAGAAAATAAGAAGTAAACCATGTTATTTATTAATTCATGAGTAAATAGTGTATAGACTCACACTGTCATTCAATCACAACAGTCAAATAATGGAATAACTATCTTAAAAATCCTACCTAACATGAGATTTCTCATTCGCTGACAATAAATAGAAATTAAACTGTTGAATCAATAAATATAACAAAGAATTTAGTTCATTTTTTGAAGTTTAACATTTATAAAGTATATCTAACCTCAAATAAATCTTGAAAAATCTGTTTTTTTTTTTTTTACTGATAAGGCATGCAAAATGAGAAGAGTGAGAAGACAATAAATAAGTTATACAAGAGAGACAAGACATGGCAATTAACTACAGATAATGGTGTAGAAATTCAACATTGTGCATGAACTTCTATTCATGAAAGCACCCCAACTTTTGTCTAAATTCTTGACATCATGTGTTAGGATTTAAGACCATGTGTATTTAATAGCAATTCATATGCTATGCAGGATCTCCACCGCTGGTCATAGCACGTGGCGGGTTTTCAGGGATATTTCCTGATTCAAGTTCAGTTGCCTATAGTTTGGCACTAAACACCAGCGGCCCAAATGTGATTCTATGGTGTGATGTGCAATTAACAAAGGATGGCACTGGGATTTGTTTCCCAGAGCTCAAGCTGGACAATGCCACTGATATTCCAATTGTTTACCAAGGCAAGGCAAAGCATCACTCAGTTAATGGGGTCTCAACCCGGGGATGGTTTTCTGTTGACTACAACTTTGATGAACTAGTAAATGTCTCTCGTGAGTTCCATCTACTCAACACCTAAACATTTATTTTTCTTGATTCGATGATTTTTATATCTTTTTTAGCAAATACATAAGATATCTTCCGAAGATAAGGTGGGGTACGTGGTGGCATTGATTACTCAAGCATAGGACAGAGTGGAAAACATCATTTTAGTCCCTGAATTGGTTGGCACCATGGGTTAATTTGGCCCTAGAGATTTAAAAGAGGAAATTCAGTTCTTGACATTAAAAACTATCAATTCATTTTGTTCTTGACATTACAAAAGTATTCAATTTTTGCCATTATTAGTGAATTTGATTCCTAACATTAGGAAGCAAATTGACAGATTTTATAATTGTTAGGAACCAAATTGTTATAGAACCAAATTGATTGGTGGTGCCAATTTCAGAGTCTAAATTGATAGCTTATTCTGGAACTTGTTCTTGGTGCTTTACTTGATCATAACATGACAGAACTGGGAAACTTGTTCCACTGTCCTTGCTCCATATGTTATTATATGCTTGTAACACTGATAATTATTTTGTTATTGGAACAGTTGTTCAGGGAGTGTACTCTCGGACTAATATGTTCGATGGCAACAGGCTTCCCATTCTCCCTGTTGAAGAAGTAGCTAACTTAATAAAATCACCATCTACAGGCCTGTGGTTAAATATTCAGGTAATTGGAAAAAGAGTATTTGCTTCTTGTCCATGAACTGGAATGCATTCTATGTGTTGTTGATTAATCATACTTTTTCATTTTAAAATCCAATGCAGCATGATTCTTTCTTCAAGCAACAGAATTTGAGTGTAGAAAAATTTCTACTATCTCTCGCTGCCAGAAGAGTACCTGTCAGTTACATTTCATCACCTGAAGTAAATTTCTTAAAAAGAGTTAAATCAATCTTTAGTCCTCAAACAACCAGCTTGATCTTCAGTGTTCTAGAGCAGTCTAAGATTGAACCTACAACCAAGCAGAGTTATGGTGAACTCTTGAAAAATCTTGCATTAATCAAGACATTTGCTTCAGGAATTCTTGTTCCCAAGGGCTATATATGGCCTGTAGACTCAAGCCTTTCTCTACAACCTCATACCTCTCTTGTCTCAGATGCTCACAAAGAAAAGCTGCGAGTTTTTGTATCGGACCTTATCAACGATGTTCCATTTAGCTACAATTTCAGTTATGATCCGCTGGCTGAGTGTCTATCTTTCATTGATGATGGTGATTTCTCTGTTGATGGTGTGTTGTCTGACTTCCCAGTTACTCCATCTGCAGCCATAAGTAAGTTTTGTTTCCCTTGTATAGAATTCTCAACATTTCTTCAGAGATGCTTTATAATTATTTTCCAAACTAATGCTATACCTTTTAAATGAGACTTAAATTTTCTTTTAATCTGTCTTTAACACCTTACCAAGTAGAATCTATTAAGATGTTTAAAGTATTCCTTAGAATTTCTATTTTTCATTACATCCATGCAAGGATAGATGATTAATACAAGCCAGAGATGAGTATATGTAATCTCTGGAGACTGAGTTGTATGCAATTTTCTTTCTATTATGTAGAAGTTGTAAATGACAATTGATGTGAGTGAATTACTCTCTACTATAATATAACTAACTCTAATTGACTAGTGACAATTACCAATAGATGGCTGGCACTGTAACTATCTCTAACTAAATAGTGACATTTCTTAATAAACTGTGATATTGCAGCAGATAATAATATAATATACTAAACATCTGAATGTTACATGTATCTAATTATCAATCGATTTTATGAAATTTTATTCAGCACCCCATTCAGATTCTAAAATCTCATCTCTTACTGCAGATTGCTTTTCTGGCCTAGGGAAAAATGCCACTAAACAAGGTATAATTTATCAGCTCTCTCCATTGACGTATTACATATTTTTGTTGTTAACAAGTTATAGCTTGTATTGAGGGTTTTAGTCAGAGATACTTTACTATTACTGTTTCATTTCATATTGTTAACAGAATCAGCCTAACAATTGTATATATTTGGGATTCCTCTTTTAGCTTGTAACAATTATGAACTAAATTAAATTGTCATTAATAACTGTAATTGAGAATGTATCATTTATAGAAGAGTATACAATGAAAGCAGGACAAGAAGCAAGAAATTTTCCACAGAGGGAACACAATATTTTTGTTGTCTTTATTGATCAGTTTCTTCTTTCATATTTTCATGATAAAGTGGACACTTTGGTCATCACAAAATATGGAGCAAGTGGAGATAATCCTGCTTGTACTGACATTGCATACAAGAAAGCTAAATCAGACGGGGCAGATGTACTTGACTGTCCTGTTCAAATGTCCAAGGATGGAATACCCTTTTGCTTAAGCTCTATAGATCTTTCAGAGAGCACAACTGTTGCTCATACAAACTTCAAAAACCGTGCTACAACTATTCAGGAGATCAAAAATAGCAGTGGCATATATACATTTAGCTTGACATGGGATGAGATAAAAACATTGACTCGTAAGTTGAATGATGTTTTTGAATGCTTCTTATCTAAGTGTGGTGTTGTTTAGCCATTTTCCCTCGTTGGTTTATTTCGTTCTAGGGTATCAGTTTGAACTTTTAATTGTTTTAAATTTTTTCTAATCTACTATTCCTAAAATAATTTCACTGGCTAAAAGTCCCATATATAATTTTAGTTAAGGTACTTATACTAAATGATGCAGTAATGGATGGATGTATTAAATAAAGAATTACTAGAGGGTTAAAAGACTTCATTGCTTTGCATTCTAGAATGTGACATTCTTTTATAAAATTTAATAATTAGATAATTTCTTATGCTTATAATATGTTCTCTGAAGTATTACAAAGTTTGAATTCCTGGATGAACAATAATAATGGATTTGACAGAAGTTAAAATTTTATACTTTTTGCATACTCTTTAATGCCAAACAAATTTGGCTTGAAATTTGGGTAACCTATTCAGTCTAAGTTCTTGGAAAGTTAAGGGAACAAAAAATAAAAATGCATATGTTCTCAGAAAATCCTTACATCCCTCATTTTTTCTAGTCTTTGCTTCTTATTGCAGCCTCAATATTGAACCCTTATGAGAAATACAGATTGTTCCGGAATCCAAAATCCAAAAATCAAGGAAAACTGATAACCTTCTCTGAGTTTTTGCTCTTGTCTGAAGGCTCTCGCATCTTGATCAGCATAGAGGTGAGTTCTTCCTTTTCTATTTTTTTTTATCAAGATTCATCATGTGTAAGATGTTGACTTTTACAGGCTATTGCTCTGATATGAAGAATTTATTATTTGATCATGTGATGAATATTTTGTTAGGAAAAGGTAGCTTTATAAAGACTATAAAGGATATTATCTGTAATAGGGGTTAAAAGACACGAGTGTTATTATGTGTTAAAATTTGAGATTTTTATTTTTCTTAACATTAAATATTTGTTTTGCTTTTTGTGATTGCTTGTAATATTGGTCGAAAGGTTGTTTATTCTTAGAAAAAGTAAGTTGCAGCTGCAAACTAATGATGGTTTTTTCTTTTAGCTTAGTCATGAATCATTAATAATGCTGTGAGTACCATGATTGGGTGCTGATTATCCAAGTTCTGTTACTTTTCTTTCCTATTTCTCATTCATTCAGATTATGAGAAAGGATTCCTACCTTGATTAATTCCTTTTATTTGTTGATGTCATTTTCAATTTTTATTTTTATTTTTTTGTTATCAGAATGCTGCCTATCTCGCAGAGAAGCAGAATTTAAGTGTGATCAATGCGGTCCTTGATGCATTAAAGAAAACAAGACCAAGATCAGGCAAAGTTATGATTCAGTCAACTCATAGCTCTGTTCTTAAAATATTCTCAGATAAATCCAAATTTGAAAGGGTTTACAGGGTTGATGAGAACATTAGCGATGCTGCTTACTCGGCCATTAAGGACATAAAAACATTTGCTGATTCTGTGGTGATAGGAAAGAAGTCTGTTTTTCCTGAAACTATGGCCTTTTTGGTTAACTCTACAAACATTGTGGCAAAGCTAAAATCATTTAAGCTCCTAGTTTATGTAGAATCTTTCAGCAATGAATTTGTATCTCAAGCATGGGACTACTACTCCGACGCATCTATCGAGATACATTCATTTGTCATTGGAACCAAGGTCAATGGCATTATTACTGACTTCCCCAAGACAGCTAATAGATACAGGAGTAAGTTCAACCTTTTCTATCAACATTTGCTTCTTGCAGGATTTTGGAAAATTGACTCACTTGGTCCTTTCTTTGTGTTTGTACAACTTGAATGCTCAAAATCTACTTGGTTTATGAAAACTGTTCACCTTATGTCTACTTCATTCCCAAATTAAAATATTTCTATAAGAAATAATATAAAGAAAGTGATAATTTTGTGATTAGTATAAAAATAAAAGAATGAAAACAGAAAATATTTTCTCAAACCATTGTTTTACATGATAATAATGAGACTAATTCTTCATACTATATAGTATAGGCTAGTAGCAGAGTTTTGCATAACGCAAACTTCGAACTAATTCTATATGCATGTCATGCGACTACACTTCTTCATTCATGATTATTGCCAACATGGTTTGGGTTATTAGGTTAAGCTATCAATGTCACTTGACAAGTTTTATAGGTCTTTCTACCCTTTCCCTGATATTTTTTTTTTCATTAATAAAAAGAATTCTGGGTTTGTATGAATCTGTTATGCCCCCATTGCTGATTTGATTGTTGCTCTACTTGGTGCAGGGAACTTGTGTTTAAAGCATGGCCACAAAGCACCTTATATGAGCCCTATTGAACCTGGCAAACTTTTTCAACAAATTTCCACGTTGTTCCTTCCACCACTTCCCCCTCCACTCCCAGTCTTGACTGACAGTAATGTGACAGAGGCACCTTTGCCTGGTGTTTCTGCAAGATTTCCTTCTGCCAAGGCTGCTCCAAGAGTAGGTGCCATAGCTCCAGCCCCCATCAAAATGTAAAGAAAAAGTAAACAAGAAAACCAAGTGTGGCATCCATGCATGCCATTACCTTGTGAATTCCGTAGTTTGAAAAGGAATGAAAGGATTTCTCTCTGTAAGAGAAGTATTTTTTTATTAAACTCAACATTAAGTTATTGTGATAGTTGCTATTGTGATGATCCATCTAGTGTCTTCTATCAGTTATTTTCCTTGCTATGTGATTCTATCAAATGGTATACAATTTTATTGATAATGTTATATGAAAATCCAAAACAACGTTTAATTAATATTTTTTATGCTAGGTTTCTGTTTGAGTAAGAAACGAATGTCACGTTATTTTTTTATGTAAGGATTGTGCCATTAGAGTGTCTCACCTCATATCCGAGTTGAATTCTTGTACAGGTGTAAAGAGGAAAGACGTGTATAAATTATCTTTTTCTTAACTCTAAATAATCGTGAGCGTATGAGAATAATTTGTATTAAAAAAACCTAATAATTTTAGGAAATATTTTTTGATAATTTTTTAATTAAATTTATTGTGGCATTATTCAGGAAACGAGAATCTGACATTTTAAGTTGATTCTTTTGTACTGTACTAATAAAATATTATGTTACTCTTGTTAAATTATTTAAAATGATAAATGAACAAGATTTATGATGAAAGTATCATGGTATTCTTTAATTTTTATAAAATTCGTATAAATATTTTTTAAAATGATTTTTATTAGACAAATATATTTTAATCATTTTTAAGAATTATAATTCTCAGAAATTGTAGTTTTTAAAAATCATATTATAAATTATTGTCATATATCAAACGTAGAAACAAATAAATATAATTGAGTTTAAGTTGGAACAGGTCAAAACCCTTATCCACATATACATGGACATCGTTGCTTATCTTTTGGGCAAAAAATCTTAAAATTTTAATTAAAATTGGGATTAAATAATTTGTATTAAATTACCAAGTTTTGATTTTAGTTTTTATATAATTTTCTATTCTTCAATATATTGAAATATTGTTTTTATTATTCCTAAGTAATATTTGTCAACAATTGTGTTGAATGAAAAATTAAGTGACCATCTCTTGTTTCATATATATAAAAAAAATATTATAATTTTTAAAAAATATTATTTGTCCATTTTAAAAGTACTTTAAAAGACAAAAATAATAATTTCAATAAAATCATTTACATATAAAAATGAAAACAATAATTAACTCTTACAAATAAATCACAGGCTATAAAGTTGATTGATTCTTCACGAAGTAGCAAATAGTAGAAAACAAAAACTTTATGCAACTTGATCGTACTAAATCAAATGTATACGAATAGACATGTTTCTCTTTTTGTTTTTATAGTAGACTCAGTCTACGTCATTATAACATATAAAAAGAATTTTAAAAAATACGATAAGATTAAAATTAATCGTAATTTTACTAACATTTGATAATTTAAACTTGTAATTTTCAACTCTCAAAAAAACGATATTATAATATTCATTTTCAACATATTTAAATTTTACAAAAGCTAAATTTTGAAAAAATGAATTCTATTAATTATTAAAATATTTTAGAACTTAAACAATAATTTTAAAATAGTAGAACTTAAAAAAAAAAAAAAAACAAAGAATGAGTGGTGGAAAAGAGAAGAAAGAAATTGACTTCAATTACGTGAACGTGACTAATAAATTTTTATTTTTGTTCATTGACTTTGAAGTTATGTATTCCAGGTCTTCTCAGGTCTTCCAATTCTGGACTCTTATTGTTTAAATAAAATAAAATAAAATACTCTTTTTATAAACAAAACTAATTTATACATAATTAAAAGATAAAAATTTAAAGAACATAGATAAAAACAATTATATTTTGTCCAAAATTATTTTATAAAAAAATATCTTGTATTTTTCTCATGTTTACGGAGTAGTTTATATATATATATATATATATATATATATATATATATATATATATATATATATATATATATATATATATATATATATATATATATATATATATATATATATATATATATATATATATATGAGATAAAACACAATTTTATAGTAAAGTATGCTAATCAATTATGAATTTTATTAGTTTTCATATTTTTTATGTATATAACAATCTTTCTGATAAGAAAATATGGTATAATATTTTTTTTTATATAATTAAAACGTGCTAAGAATGTTGGCATAATATATTTTCAATCATTGTAGAGAATTATTAATGTGAGAGTAAAAAAAGAAAGAAAAAAATGATATTAAATTTTTGAACTGGTATTTACTTTTCATTCAGTCTCTTCCATAAGAAAAAAAAATGATATTAAACATCTAATAACAATTTAAAAATCTAATAAATTAAAATTTGACATATAAGAATAATTTTAAAAAATCACACACTTTAAGGAGTGAAGTAACTATTTTTCTCCGTCTCAAATTTTTTATTTTTACTTTTTTTTAGATTACATCACATAACATGGAGTTTACTTCTCTCTTTTTCTTCTATTAGGTTTAACCCACTATTATCTACATCAATATATTCTTCCTAAACATTTTTTTTATGGAAGAGAAAAATATAATTTATATTTATATTTGTATTATATTTTTAATTATATTTATTTTTAATTTTTAATGTAAATAATAAATAAATAAATAAAAAATTCCTCTTTTTCTTATTCTCTCAAGTAATAATAATAATAATAATAATAATATATTATTTTTCTTTATTTTTTAATTATATGTTTTCTTTAATTTTATCTCATATTTAATTTCAATCATTCCTAATTATAAAGATAAATATTTGTATTTGAAAAATACGGAACGACACATACATGCCTATATTTCCGTGGATATTATATAAAAAGAAAATGCTTTTCTGATAGATTCTTTTAACTATTTTTTTTAAATTAATAATTCGATCCTATAATTTATAAAAATATAGTTTAATTTTTATAAATAAATTTAATATTTAATTTTGTTATCTTAGCATATTTAATAAAATTTTAATTTTTTTATATCTAAGTTTCATATTTAATAATTCTTTTATGATCGTAAAATATGATAAAAATATAAAATTTACATAAATTTAAAAATTTAAAAATTAATTAAATAAATAATTTTAAAATACCAAAATTAATTTTGACCAAGAAAAAAAGTGCAAAGTTGAAAATATATATCACTTGAGCGTTGCATTTGTCGCTCAGAGATAGTAAGAGACCAAAACTTTCTGTTTCTTCTTCTCCGGCGAGTATTGCCAGAATTTCACCGGGATGTGGAAACCACACGCTTTTGTCCGTTCACTCTCCCTCCTACATTTTCTTTTTCATCTCCACTCGGTGCTGCCTCTGGTCTCTGCAAAAGGATCCAACACAACCACTTGGAACACTCTCTCTGGTGCGTCTCTCATTTCACTATTCTTTCTCTTTTTCGCTTCTGCATGTGTTACTGAGGAAGTGAACGAAAGAATTAAATAAACAGAGGAATTATTCTAAGCTTACTTAGCTTAATTCAACGTTCCTTTGTTCTTCTTCGTTAAGTTCGTGTTAATTCCACGTTGTTACTGATAAAATTAGCTGTGCATTTATTACATATGAAGTTTAATTGAATTTCCTCCGTGTAAATAGAACTAAATTGAGGCTGTGGATTCTGATACTGTAAAGTTCCTTTGCTCTTCATTGTTGAGTTCGAGAAATCTGTTTTTGAATACGGTAAACGGAAAATAAGAAAACATGTAGCAACAACGCTTTTTGTATATGTTGGGAAAATACATTTAACTCTTCCGTGTTGTCAGATATATCCAAGTTAAATAAAAACAAAATAAAGAAGGAATAATAGGACAAATAATGAAGTTCGGCCAAAATTGCCTACGTTTTCAGACTACTGCAGATATTTTACTAGGAGAAAAGAAAATATACAAGTGTTTACAAAGCACTCTCAAAACACTCGCAACCCTCAACTCAATTACACCCAAAATGCTGGCTAACTCTTGTAATGGTTGCTTGGGAATTGGATGATCCAAATGAGTGAAGTGAAAGAGCATTTTATAGCAAAAAATGGTTCTTGTGTATTTAAGGCTTTCTGTGTTTTCTTGTCTCCAACCACTTGCCACCTTTTTTTTTTTACTTTTCAAACACCAATAATCTCCCACTTGAGGACCTGTCCTCACACCTTGATTAATGCAGTAGTCTTCTCTGGTCTGCTACTCTTGCAAGCTAACTGAAGTTGAGCACAACTTCAGTTTGTCAATGGTCACCACCTTCGTTAGCATATCTGCTGGGTTCTTGCTTCCTATAATCTTCTTCAATGTTAACACCTCATCCTCAAGTAGAGATATGATGAAATGATAATGAATATTGCGAGAAATCAAATAGTATTTTAGGAAAGAATAAATAAGAAAATTTGTATATTTCCTTGTAATCTGTACATATTTGAATAATTAGGAACAATCCCATAAATCAAGGGATCCTAGCATAAAATAGAGTTATTATATTTCCTAAAATAGTTTAGGTCTCTTGTATATATCTTATATCATCTCTTTGTATTGAAATAATAAAATAAATCATATTTCAGTTAATCTATTTTTCCAGATGGTATCAGAGCCAAAGCCTAACATCTTTCCGGTTATTGCCATGGGCCAAAAGTTGCCCTTTAGTTGGGTCAAAAGTACCCTTTGCCTGGTCCGGCAGACTTCGTTGGAGGGAGCATGTTGAAAGTCTCACATCGCCTACCTCATGTCATTTGGTATGGTTTAAATGCATGTTAGGCTACTCCACATATTGCCAATTAGTTTTATGTTGGAACCTTAACATGGTATCAGAGCTTCCGATCTAGGAAGCTCTGCCTGCGCTCGATAAACCCTAAGACGGCAGCCTGCATTGCTGCTGCATATTTTGTAACCCTAAGACGACAGCCTGCATTGCTGCTGCATTTTTCATAATCCTAAGATGACAGCCTGCATTGTTGTTGCATCGCACCTTTTGCTATAATGTCAAGGGAAGAGGAGATAGAAAGGGTGAAAACCATTCTTAGTAAGCTGGAAAAACCTACAGGTATGTGTTCTTTGGCATACTCAGGTAAGTTTTCACCTTCTTTTGGATTAAATATCTCAAATACGCCTTTTAACCATTATTGGATATTGGACTCTGGAGCCACAGATCACATGACACCATTAGCCAAACATAACTTTAGTAAACCTGCCAAACCATGCACGGGGGGACTGTTTTAACCCATATAATGCCTTTTTCAACTTGCAAACAGTGTTGGTAGCAACATCTTTACCATATCCCGGAGGTATCTCCATATAGATTTCTTCTTCAAGGTCTCCATGTAGGAAAGCATTCTTAACATCAAATTGTTCCAAGTCAGGGGGAGTAACAATATTATTGGTGTATGTGGATGACATAATATTAACTGGAGATAATAAAGAAGAGCAACAATTATTAAGTCAATGCTTAGGCAAGGAATTTGAGATCAAGACTTTGGGAAAACTAAAATATTTTTTGGGAATTGAAGTTGCCCACTCCGAGAAAGGGATATTTATATCTCAACAGAAATACATCACTGATTTGCTCAAGGAAACTGGCAAGGCAGCTTGCAAACCTGCTAGTACCCCATTAGAACCAAACCTAAAGCTTGGAAATGCGAGAAGAAGATGTTGCTGTTGAAAAAGATATGTACCAAAGATTAGTGGGCGGACTTATATATTTGTCACATACCGGGCCGGATATTGCCTATGCAGTGAGTTTAATTAGCCAATTTATGCATAGCCCAAAGGAGACCCATTTACAAGTCGCCTACGGAATTTTACAAGTACCTTAAAGGAACTCCGGGAAAAGGGATTCTATTCAAAAGGAATGGTAATGTGAAACTTGAAGCCTATACCGATGCTGATTATGCGAGGTCAATTGTGGATAGGAGGTCAACTACAGGATATTGCACCTTTCTTGGAGGAAATCTTGTGACTTGGAGAAGCAAAAGCGAGGTGTAGTGGCTCGGTCCAGTCGTTGAGCGAATTCCGAGCCATGACACAAGGTATATGTGAGTTGCTATGGCTTAAAATCATCTTAGAAGACTTGAGGATAAAGTGGGAAGAACCTATGAAACTCTATTGTGATAATAAGTCAGCAATCAGTATAGCCCACAACCCAAGTGCAGCATGATAGAACAAAGCATATTGAAGTAGACAGACACTTCATCAAAGAAAAGCTTGATAGTGGCTTGATATGCACTCCATATGTGTCCTCTCAAGACCAAATTGCAGACATTCTTACCAAGGGACTGGGCTGCCATAATTTTGAGAAGATTGTATCCAAGCTGGGAATGGAAAACATCTATTCACCAGCTTGAGGGGAGTGTGAGAAATCAAATAGTATTTTAGGAAAGAATAAATAAGGAAATTTGTATATTTCCTTGTAATCTGTCATGCATTTGAATAATTAGGAACAATCTCATAAATCAAGGGATCCTAGCATAAAATAGAGTTATTATATTTCCTAAAATAGTTTAGGTCTCTTGTATATATCTTATATCATCTCTTTGTATTGAAATAATAAAATAAATCATATTTCAGTTAATCTATTTTTCCAGAAATATCAATGTGCTTGGTTCTGGAGTGAAATGCTGAATTCTTTGCCAGATGTATTGCACTCTAACTATCACTATGCAAAACACTCCATTCTTGAGTGAATCCCAGCTCTGTTAATAGTCCTTGAAGCCATATCAATTCTTTACTGACTTCTGTCACTGCTACATACTCAGCCTATGTAGTGGATAAAGCAACAATTTTTTGTATCTGCGACATCCAACTAACAGCTGTAGTACCAACCATGAAAACATAACCGGTGGTGCTTCTTCGGTGATCAACTTCACCTCCAAAGTGTACATCTACGTAGCCCTGTAATCTTAGATTTCATTTTCCAAAACACAGAAATTTTTCTGTTGTTCCTCGTAAATATCTCAGAATCCACTTGACGACTTCCCAGTGAGCATTTCCTGGATTTTCCATAAACCTGCTCACAACTCCCACTGCATGACCAATGTCTGACCTTGTACAGACTATTACATACATCAAACGTCCAATGGATGAAGCATACAGAACCTTAGCCATAATTTCTTCTTCTTCCTTTGTTTGAGGAGACTGGTCCTTGGATAGACAAAAATGACTGGCCAAAGGTGTACTAACTGATTTGACCTTGTCCATGTTAAATCTTTGCAAAACACGGTTGATGTACTCCTCTTGAGATAACTGTAAAACTCCTTTTTGCTTATCTCTCATGATTTGCATTCCAAGATCTTCTTTGTTGGTCCTAAGTCCTTCATGTCAAATTCCTTTGACAACTGCATCTTTAAATTTCTGATATCCCTCATATTTGAACCTGCTACTAACATGTCATCAACATAAAGTAGCAATATGATATAGCTGGACTTATACCTCTTGAAGAAACAACAGTGATCGACATTGCGCTTTTGAAAACCTTCCTTGTGCATGAAGATTTCAAACTTTTTGTACCACTATCTTGGAGCTTGTTTCAGACTGTACAAGCTCTTCTTCAATTTGCACACCATATCCTTCTTTCCTTCTGAAAATCCTTCAGGCTGGTGCATGTAGATCTCCTCATCTAAGTCTCCATGGAGAAATGCAGTCTTCACATCTAATTGCTCTAGGTAGAGCTCTTCACTAGCCACAATACTTAACACTGTTATGATAGTATTGAGCTTTACGACTAGAGCAAAGATTTCAGTGTAGTTAACTCCTTCTTTCTGCTGAAATCTTTTGACAACTAGTCGGACTTTGTATCTCTTGGAACCGTCATGGTCTTCCTTCACCCGATACACCCATTTGTTGTGAAGTGCTTTCTTCCCCATAGGTAACTTGACTAGTTCCCATGTCTGATTGGAGATCAGAGACTTCATCTCTTCTTTCATGGCAAGCTCCCACTTGCTAGCATCTGTGGTTTGACAAGCTTCTATATAATCTTCGGGCTCCCCTCCATCAGTCAGCAACATGTAGTTCATGTATCTCCTGTTTGGCACATGAGGTCTAGAGGACCTTCTCAATACAGGAGTTGGAGTAAGAGGTTCTGGTTGCACATCACCTTCTTCAATTGATTCCTTTGACTGAGGACTCTTTACTATAGGATTTTCTGGGACATCTTCCACTTCTGTAAAAACTGACCCACTCGATTATGAATTGCTAATACATGTTTTATGCATGTCCTTATACAAAACTCTTTCATTGAAGATTACATCTCTGCTGCGGATCATCTTTTTGTTTTCATCATCCCATATGCAGTAGCCATACTCATCTTCACCATAACCAATGAAAGTGCACTTCTTTGATTTTGGGTCAAGTTTGTTTCTACCTTGATCACTGATATGGACATATGCTACACAACCAAAAACTCTAAGATGTGAGAGTTTTACCTCTTTTCCGCTCCATACCTCTTCTGGTATTCCGTACTCCAATGGTACCGATGGACTTCGGTTGATCAAGTAAGCTGCTATGTTAACTGCTTCTGCCCAGAACTGCTTTGGTAAGCCTGACTGTACACGCAAGCTTATGACTCTTTCAGTCAATGTTCGATTCATACACTCAGCTACACCATTTTGTTGAGGCGTACCAGGCACGGTCCTCTCCATTCTGATTCTGTGCTCATAGCAAAACTTCTTGAATCTGGTGTCTACATATTCACCACCATTGTCGGATCTGAGCTTCTTAATCTTCAATCCTGTTTCAGAAAGCTTCAAATACTTCTGACTTGTGTTTCAAAAAGTAAACCCATACCTTTTTGGAGTGATCATCGATAAACATCACGAAGTATTGCTTCCCACCAACGGATGAGACAGTCGTTGGACCCCAAACATCAGAGTGGACGAGCTCAAGTCTCTCTTTCTTTGGAGTTCTTCTATTTGTCTGAAAGCTAACTCCCTTCTGCTTTCCAAGTATGCAGTCTTCACACATGTCAATTTCTACTGACTGAAGACTTGGTAGTTTTCTTTTTAAGTGCATGATCTTCATCCCTTTCTCACTCATATGCCCAAGTCTTTGGTGCCATAGATTGGGATTTTCATTTGCTGCAACTGCAATCAAATGGCATACTCCTGCAGTCTTGTAAAGAGTACCACTCTTTTTGCCTCGAGCAATTGTCACCGCACCCTTTGAGATCTTTCAATCATCACCGTGGAAGATTGTTGTGTAACCTTTACTGGCTAACTGACTCACTGAGATTAAGTTCTTCGTCAGGTCGGGAATATGTCTGACATTTTTCAATTCCCATACAGACCCGTTCAACTTAATCTTTATTGTACCTTTACCTACAATCTCACACGATTGCTCATTACCGAGGTAAAATTTACCGAGATTTCCGGGAACATAATTCTCGAACAATTGCTTTTGTGAGGTAGCATGGAAAGATGCTCCGGAGTCTAACACCCAAGACTCCTCCTTACTTTCTAAATAGCATATCAACACATCATCTTTCCCTGAGGTAGAGGCAACGTTTGCCTCCTACTTCGCTTCTTGATTCTTTCGTGCATTCTTGCACTGATTTTTGTAATGTCCGGTCTTCCCACAATTCCAACACTCGATTTGCTTCGAGTTTTGGGAACTACGATGATTTTTGGACTTGGATCGTTTGCCCTTTTATTTTTCGCGTCCGCTTTCTTTGGTTGAACTTCTTCCTCTTTACTCTGTATGCAATACTGAAGAGGTTGATGATTCACCCAACTCCCTCCGCCGGATCTCTTCACTGAGAACCAAATTACGAACATCATCAAATTTTAACTTATTGCTTTCCGATGAGCTACTCACAGCTGTGACAGTAGCATTCCAACTTCTGGTAGAGAAGACAAAAGTATCAAAGCTCGTACTTCATCATCGAACTCGATCCCAACTGAACTCAATTCAGTTGTAACAGTATTGAGTTCATTGATATGTTGCGCTGTTGAAGCGCCTTCAGACATTCGTAGATTGAACAACCGCCTCATCAAATGAATTTTGTTTGAGGCTGATGGTTTCTCGTATATACTGGAAAGAGTATCCATAAGACCTGCTGTCGTCTTTTCTTTTGCAATGTTAAAAACAACATTACGGGATAACGTCAGTCAAATGACTCCAAGGGCCTTTCTGTCGAGAAGAGTCCATTCCTCTTCTTTCATACCCTCTGGTTCTTTCTTGTGAGTGGTTCGTACATATCCTTCAGATACAGATAATCTTCGATCTGCATCTTCCAGAACCCAAAGTCCACACCATCGAACTTCTCGATTTTCACCTTTCCTTCATCTGCAACCATCACTCCAACTCGGATCTGACTTTTCTGGATCGTTTCTGACAATTTCTGTGAACTATCATGTTTCGAAACATGTCTATAGATAATTTAGTAGCACCGAATTTTTTTTTACTATTCATGTTTTTACTATTCACAAAATAGTAAATTCACTATTCATATGAATAGTGTCACCACAAAAATTGCAGAGTTAACAACCTGGCTCTGATACTAGTTGTTGGAAAAAATACACAAAACTTTTCTATGTAGTCAGATTTGTGAAAGTGAAATAAAAACGAAATAAATACGGAATAATTGGACACACTAATTGATAACGGAGTTCGGCCAAAATTGCCTACATCTCCGGACTACTGCAGATATTTTACTGGGAGAAAATAAAATACACAGGTGTTTACAAAGCACTCTCAAAACACTCGCAACCCTCAACCCAATTACACCCAGAAGCTAGATTATTTTCTTTCTGCTTCTTGCTGGCTAACTCTTGTAGTGGTTGCTTGGGAATGGATGATCCAAATGAGTGAAGTGAAAGAACATTTTATAACAAAAAATGGTTCTTATACATTTAAGGTTTTCCGTGTTTTCTTGTCTCCAACCACTTACCAACCAATCACTTGCCACCTTTTTTTTTTCTTTTTTTACTTTTGAAACACCGAGTATGGAGAAGGTCTTTCATTACCAAATTACAAGTATCTTCATTGTAAATATTGAGTAAGATTACTCAAACAAATTATTAAGTGATCTTGAACCACGATCAATATTTAGATGAGATATAATTAAATGATAGTTAATTATTTTATTTTACACAAAAAAATTAAATATGTATCATTCAGAGAAAATGATCGAAACCATAAATTAGTTAATAATAATGATCATATAATAATTTCTCATACACAAAACTCTCTTTCAAGTATATAATATTATTGCATACTAAGACTTGATAAGTTGAGAAAACACTGTTATTGAGTTACAGGGGAAATTGTCCGAACAGGATTTTTTTTTTTTTACTTTTAAATGTATAAATAAAAAATTTACTTCCCTGAAAGAATAACAAAAATCTGCTGTGTACTTTGTGTATTGAGGCTGACTTGGAGAAGTTGTTTGGTGCAGGAAATCCACCGTTGGTCATAGCTCGTGGTGGTTTTTCAGGGTTATTTCCTGATTCCAGTAGTAATGCCTATAAATTTGCAGTACAAGCTAGTTTTAAAAATGTCATTTTATGGTGTGATGTGCAGCTAACGAAAGATGCGCAGGGGATCTGCATCCCAAACATCAAGCTCGAAAATGCTACTGATATTGATAAAATTTTTGAAAATAATAGAACCAATTACATAGTTAATGGTGTACCAACCAATGGCTACTTTTCTGTGGACTACACCCTCAAGAAGCTGCGTTCCAATGTCATGTGTAAGTTCAACTTTTCTTAATGGTGTAGTTTTATTGTTATCCTTTAAGAAATGGAAAATGATACTTTGACGGTCTAAATTATATCATTCTTATAAATAATTCTCTTTTAATATTATAATAATAATTTTATTTTATTTTTATTAAATCATTATATAAATTATTATATTAATAAAAGTGAGTTATTTAAAGGTATAAATAATTTCTAGTTGTCAAAATATGACCACTTTTAACAAATTGATTGACTAACTTATTCCTTTTCTACCTTTTCAATAGATAGAACCGACGCCACACACACATATATATATATATATATATATATATATATATATATATATATATATATATATATAATATTTTATTTAAATAAAAGTTGTTTGTTAAAATAATTTTCATAATTTTAAAAAATTTATATTATGATAACACATATCTCAAATAGTCAAATTATTTGAAACAACTCTAAGTAATTTGTCAATAAAAGATAAAACTCTTATTGTCTATCTTCATCGTTTATTTATTTTTAATTCATTAGTCTAATATAATAATTAAATTACAAATATAAAATAAAAATTAATTTTCCTACATTTATTTTTTGAAGTAAATAATTACTTTTATATATATATATATATATATATATATAGATATATATATATATATATATATATATATTCTATACAAATAATAGATACTAATTTCATTTAAAATGGTACAAGTTCTTATCTTAATTAATAACATGGTTATAACAAAGATAAAAAATGTATTCATTTTTTTCATTTAATTGATTAATACGTTATCATTTATAATTGATTGAATGATGTCGTCTTACTTTAAAGTTTATATGTAATTTTATTCTTTATTAGTAAGATATACAAAGTTTATAATTTTAGAATTCTTTTACAATTTGACTTTTGAATTCTGTTTTTTTTTTATCTGGTTAAAACCTTTTTATTTTATTTTATGTATTATCACAATTTTTTTTGCAATTTTGCAAGTTCTGTAATCTATTTATATATTATATAATATTAAATATTAATAATATTTTAATCATAATTGTCTAAATTAAAATAATAATTTAATATATTTTTATTTTTTTCTTAAAAGATAATAAAATATCTTAATACTTAATTTAAATAAAAAATAATAAAGTAATATTTCTAACGTTTCTCCTTACTTTAATATCTATTTTTTTGAATTTGATATTCTTTCTTTGATTTTTCTTATCATCTTCTTTCTTGTCCAAGATCATATCTTCATCTAACTTCACTTTCTTCATCAAAGTATTTCTTCATTTATCAACTTCATCGCCTTTGTTTCTTTCAAACTTCATGGCAGTATCAGTTGACTCTTTGATGAAATTGGAAATGATTTCTTCATTTACATCTTTATTTTCCTCTTTAACCTCAAGTTCCTTCAAGAAATATTCTTCTTGCTTTTTCTTTGACTTTTCTTTTATATTCTCATTTGTAATCAACTCTTCTTTCATCAAATTTAAAGTAAAATTTTTTCCTTTCATATGAACTTTGAATATTTCCAAGTTATTTGTATCTTTAATCACACAAAGTTTGTGTTCAAAAGACTCCTTATAACTTTTCTCCAATAATTAAGCAACACTTAACAAATTATGATTAATATCAGGAACATATAAAATATCAAAAATTAATTTGATACCCGAATGACTTTTAACTGCAATTGTTATCGTACCTTTCACATCCATTTGTTCTCTGTTACCGATTATCACTTTAGAAATATGTGATTCGTTGAGCTCTTTGAAAAGTTTTCGATCATAAGTCATGGACCACTGTCCATAAGTCAACATATGAATTTATTGATTATAGAACATGTTGATGCAAGGAGAAGTTTCCCTTCTACTCCATCATCTATAACCTTGACGACTTCTTCTGCTTGTGATTTGCATATTTTTTTTATATGTCTCAATTGATCATATTTGTGACATTTCACATTAGACCTCCACTAACACTTTTTGGGTGTGTGATTATTTTTTTTGCAATAAGGACAAACAAAAAAGACTTGTGATTTGGTACCTTCACCAGCAGTATGATCTCTTCTCATCAATCTTCGTTGCTCTTACGCTTGTAAAACATGTAACACTTCTGTCAAAGTAATATTAGACAAATTTTTTGTGTTTTCCAATGAAGTAAAAGATGTTTCATATCTCTCTGCCACAGTTACCATAATTTTTTCAACTATTCTGGACTCAGGAAATTTCTTGCCTAACAGTTTTATTTTGTTAGTAATACCCAATAATTTGTTTGAGTATTCATTAATTATTTCATACTCTTGCATCTTTTGTATCTCAAATTAGCTTAAACTTTCATACCTCAAATTTTCTCGTCTCCTTCATATTGATCTTTCAAATAATCTCAAATTTCTTTTGGTGACTTTAACGTCATGATTCCGGTGAGGATCATTTGTGAAACACCAACAAATAGATATGATTTAGCTTTTGTCTTCCTTATTTTTTTTTCCTCTATGAAATTTCATTTGAGCTATAGTGGGATTTTCAAGTAGCTGATCAACAATATAATCTTCTTTCACAACTTCTCATACATCTAATCATTTAAGATAGAATTACATTCTCACAACCTATAAGTCATAATTTTCGCCATAAAAAATTAGAATAGTAACTTATGAAAAGTTTATTTCTCCTTCCATTATATTGAACCAAAGCTCTTGATACCACTTATGGAAATTTTTAGGATTTTGTGTATGTGTATTTCTGATATATCATGTAAGTATATTTTTATTCATGTATTCTATGTATATATAAAATAAAAACATTACAAAATATTAAATATTAATAATATCTCAATTATAACTTTCTAAATTAAAATAATAACCTGATAAAGAAATAATAAAATCTCTTAATACCTAATTTAAATAAAAAATAATAAAGTAATATTCCCACTAATTTAAACTTTATTTAACATGAATCTCTAAATCCAACACGTAAGAAAAAAAAAACACTAAAATACACTAAATCTAACACGTAAGAAAAAAAACACTAAAATACAAGATAGTAATATTTTCAAGTCAATTTTAATTTGTAGAAAGAAAATAATATATTGGGTACCGAGAGTGATTCCAACTCATTTATGAAAAAAGTATTACCTTCGTCTCTACACAAGATTCTTTTAACAAATTCACATAAATTAAAAGAATAATTAATTTAAATGTTTAATTAATTTAATATTTTTTTAAAAGAAACCAAAATATTTTTTAATTTTATTATTTAGGTGAATCAATCCATATAATCTACTTAAAAGTGAATAGGAATGCACTGATTCATCTTGACAAATAATTTGTATTATTATTTTTAGAACAATATCCTTATAATTAGGGAGACTCAGCTCTCCTATTCTTTTTCCTAATGAATAAGTGGGAAGATAATAAAATATTGTAGTTAATAATTTTTCTCAGTCCTCACAGGAGAGGGATATAGTTATCATATTAATTTAGAATATTTAAAATTAAAATATATTAATAGAGATAGATTATAAGAGATCTCATAATGTAGACATGTTTGTTATAAATAAATACATAATTATTTGTTGTTTTTAAAAAATTTTACCCCTCTCAACCCTGGAAGGTTGCACCTCTGCACTAGATGGGCAGCCCTGCATGCATATGATCACTGTCTTCAATGATTATTACATTGATAGTTCTTATTTTGATCATTTAATTGCAACTTGTACATACTCTAATTTTTACACTAGTAATTGGTAATATCTAAATTTTACTCATCCGTTGGTTTGAAATTTAACTATTTGCTGCACATAATTGCTGACTATTTTGGTTACTGGACAGTGATTCAGGGAGATTTCACTCGATCAAGCAGTTTTGATAACACTGTCTTTGAAATTCTTACTGTGGATGATGTGGTTACAACAGCAGCACCGCCAGGATTGTGGTTGAATATACAGGTATATAATGCATTTTCATCACGTAGTATTCTAGTTTTTCCCAAAACTAAGACAGTTTCTTTTTCTGATTTTTTGCAGCATGATTCATTCTACACACAGCACAATCTGAGTATGAAAAGCTTCGTACTTTCTGTTTTCAAAACAGTAAATGTCAGTTACATCTCATCACCTGAAGCTGGTTTCCTGAGAAGTATAAAGGCAGACATCAACCCAAAAATAACAAAACTGGTCTTTAGGTTTATGGGAAAAGATGATGTAGATCCATCAACCAAACAGACTTATGGTTCGCTGTTAAAAAATCTAACATCTATCAAGACATTTGCTTCAGGAATTCTTGTTCCCAAAGATTACATATGGCCTGTGGATCCAATAAGTCATTATCTGCATCCACATACATCTTTGGTCTCCGATGCGCACAAAGTGGGGCTGGAAGTCTTTGCTTCAACTTTTCTGAATGATATTCCAATCAGCTATGATTACAGTTATGACCCTGTTGCCGAACACCTGAGTTTCATTGACAATGGAAACTTCTCTGTTGATGGTGTGTTGTCTGACTTCCCCCTAACATCATCTGCAGCTATAGGTAACTTATGTCTTTTTCCAATTTTGTTAGGATGGCCTTCTCTGTATACAATGCATAAGGACTGATCGAATCTTGTTTACTATTACAATTTGTTTTTTACTCGTATTTGTTCATTGGGACGGAATCGATGCAATGCAAATATGGTCCTGTTACTGATTTACTACCTGGTATGCAAGCATTCTGATGAATCACCTTAAATGAGTCTCTATTGCGTCTGCATGCAGTTACTTTGTTAATTTTTAATGTCACCATGCATGTGTAAAGAAAGGATCCGTGTTGTTAGTGACAGTGCTTGGTTTTTTATAATTCTGGAATTCTGGGATCAACATACTAAGATATTGACTTTTTATCTGTAAGCTACTTTATCTTTATTTTTAACCGAGGTAAGGGTATGTAGCATGTCCATGGGGGTGCCACTAAGAAAGTTATATCATATGAAATTCTCGATCAAAGAAATGACACTGGTGGAACTTATATTGACCATCACATATAGGATATTGTATGCGCATAATCTTACTAAAAATCATGGTCCAGTTTAGACTAGGCTTCTTCTTTAGGCAAATTCCAGCTATATACTTTTGGCGACCATTGTAAAAAACATGGTGTTACAAATATAGATATCTTTCCAATCTGAAATTTTCTGTATTGATTTACTTCTGTATCCTCTAAATCTATGTATGTACTTCAGTACTTGATTTTAGTTGCATGTGGGTTCTGCATTACTTAACAATCCTAACCTGACTGACTTCAGAATAATTGTGTGCATGATAAACAATTCTCCCCCTTGAAATAAATACTGAATTATATTCTTATTGTGCAGACTGCTTTGCTCACATAGACAATGCTCCAAAGAAAGGTACATTAAAATCAATGCTTTATTATGCTTTTATCATTATGTACTCTCATCTTGTTCTTTTAGTCTATCCCTGCTTGATTCATTCTATAACACTTCTATGCTGGTGTAGATTGCATCTTTGTTAACCAGATACATTCATTCTGTTAATGTCTCAGTTAACACTTTGGTCATCTCAAAATATGGAGCAAGTGGAGATTATCCTCCTTGTACCAACTTAGCATATGAAAAAGCTATTTCAGATGGTGCGGATGTTATTGACTGTCCTGTTCAGATGTCGAAAGATGGAATACCATTTTGCTTACGATCTATTGATCTTCGCGAGAGCACAACTGTCGATCAAACAATTTTCAGCAAACTTAGCAAATCTATCCCCGAGATCAAATCTGACGAGGGAATATATACATTCGACTTGGAATGGAATAATATAACAAGCTTGACCCGTAAGTCAAATGGTCCAATGCCTTCATTCAGGTTATTTATATATAAGACTTATGTAAAGAAAGATTCTTGCCTTTTCCTATCTCTCTCTCTTCTTCTCTGATGAACAAAGATGAAAGAGAAACAAACTTCTTTTTTTAATTTCTGAATGATGATTGACTTTACAAAGAATGACTTATTTATAGCCTCTGGTCCCTAGGAATCTTATCTAATTTCCACTTTTATTTCGGAACTAACTATTAAAAGATAAAACAGAATTTATAATAAAATGACATATGACAGTTTTCCCCCTCATGAAAGCAGATCTTGTCCTCAAGGTCTGGTCAACGTGGAAGCCAATCAAAGCTTGGATATTGGTGCTGTAATTCCTGAAGCTCGTGCCACGTAGCATCCTCCGGATTTGTAAATTCCCATTGTACTAGAACTTCAGTGACAGCTTTATTGTTCTTATTCTTCATGCGTCTATCTAAAATTGCCATGGGTTGTAGAATGACTTCTGCATCTTCATTAAATGCTGGTAATTGAGGGAATACCTGGTGATGTCCATGATGTTGCTTTAAAAGACTCACGTGGAACACGTCATGTATTTTGGTTCCAGCAGGTAACTCAAGTTTGTAAGCCACTTTTCCTATTCTTTCTAATACTTTATATGGCCCAACGTATCTAGCTGCAAGCTTATGAAAGGCTGAATTAGCTAGGGAATGTTGTCGGAATGGTTGGATCTTTAAGTAAACCATGTCTCCAATAACAAATTCTTTGTCAATTTTGTTCTGATCGGCATAAAACTTCATTCATTCTTGAGCTTTTGTCAAATTGGTGTGCAACAGCTTGGAAATCTGATTTCTAGTCTTCACAATAAAGTCCACTGCTTCCACTAGACTGCCTTCTATTAATGTTGGACAAGGTAGTGGCGGTTTGTAGCCATACAAGGCCTCAAAGGGGGTCATCTGAATAGTTGCATGAAACTTGGTATTGTACCAAAGTTCAGCAAAGGACAGGTAGATGGTCCACTATTTAGGTGTATCGCCTGTGATGCATCTTAAATATCCCTCTAAGGTTTTATTTAATGTCTCAGATTGTCCATCAGTCTGAGGGTGGAATGTTGTAGATCTCAACAGCTTGACTTTGTGGAATTTGAACAATTCATTCCAGAATGTACTCAAGAAGATAGGGTCTCTATCGGAAATAACTTCCTCTGGCCAGCCATGTAACTTTACCACGGTTTCCATGAATTTAATAGCAACTACGGCAGCACCAAAGGGATGTTTTAATGCTATGAAATGTGCATATTTTGTGTATCTATCTATAACCACCAAAATTACTGAAAATCTGTTTGACTTGGGCAGCCCTATAATGAAGTCCATTGTTATTGATTTCCAGGCCCCTTAAGGGATTGGTAAAGGTTGCAACAACCCTGCTGGAAGTTGAGGCAATGATTTGAATCTCTGGCATGCGTTACATTCCTTTACCCATACTCTTACCTCTTTCTGTAATCCTTTCCAATAAAAATGTTGTTTTATTCTTTTGTAAGTCTGATCAATTCCAGAATGTCCTCCGAATGGGGAATCATGAAAATGGCTAAGAATTGCCTGTCTTAGCTGTTTATCTGCACCTACTACTAACTTCCCTTTTCTTTTGAGTAAATCGTTGGCATAACTATAGTGTTTGTGAGGGCCTCCTGTCAGTCTAATTCTGTCAATGATCTTCTGTAATTTAGGGTCTTGTTGCCAAGTTTGTTTGACTTTAATGACCAATTCATTTAACAAATGTGAGATGGTGACTAATTGTCCTGGAACACATTTTCTGGATAGAACATCTGCCACGACATTGTCCTTCCCTTTTTTATATTCTATACTAAAGTCCAACCCCATAAGTTGCTCTAAACCCCAATTCTGCATGAGGGTTGTAGGTGGTTGCTCAAGGAGATGCTTCAAAGCTTTCTGGTCTGTTTTTATTATGAAGTGATTCCCAAGGAAATAGTGGAGCCATTTCTTTACAGCAAAAAGAATAGCATAAAATTCTTTCTCATACGTAGAAAGGAGTTGAAACTTAGGACCCATTGCTTTGCTGATAAAGGCAATTGGATGGTTATTTTGCAGCAGTACAACTCCTATTCCATAAGCTGATGCATCAGTTTCTATAGTGAAGGGTTGCTTGAAAGTCGGGTAATGCTAGAACAGTGCGAGAAGTTAATGACTTGTTTGATGCTGTTGAATGCCTCCTCGGCTTTTTGTTCCCAAATGAAGGTTGTGTCTTTCTTCAACAAAGCGGTTAATGGAGAAGCCATTTTGCCATAGTTTCGGATGAACCTTACGTAATATCCTGAGAGTCCCAAGAAGCCTCTAAGTTCCTTCACGGTAGTTGGTCTTTTCCATTTACGAACAACCTCTATTTTACTTATATCGGGAGCAACACCTTCCTTAGTTATTATGTGGCCTAAATATTCGACTTGCTTTGTGCCAAAATTGCACTTCTTGTAGTTTAATGCCAATGTATTTGCCTCCAAGATTTGAAGAGTTTGCTCGAGACAATGGATATGATCTTCCCACGTTTTTGTATAAACCAAAATGTCATCAAAGAACACAAGGATAAATTTCCTTAGATGTTCTCTAAACAAGTCATTCATGAGGTTCGAAATGTGGCGGGGGCATTGCTCAGCCCAAATGGAAGCACTACCCATTCATAGTGTCCACTATGAGTTCTAAAAGTTGTCTTGTGAATGTCATCTTCAGCCATTCTGATTTGGTTGTACCCACTCCTTAGATCCAACTTGGTAAAGTAAGTAGCTCCTTTTAATTCATCAAGTAGGTCTTCAATTAATGGTATAGGAAACTTATTCTTGATAGTGGCAGCATTTAACTTTTTGAAATCAGTACAGCATCTCCAGGATCCGTCTTTCTTCTTCACCAACACCAATGGTGCGGAAAATGAACTACAACTCTCTCTTATAAATCCAGTGGATAACATATGCTTCACCTGTCTTTCAATCTCCTCTTTTTGTGCTCGAGGATATCTGTAAGGCTTCAAGCAAATAGGCTTCTCATTTGTGAGCTCAATTTTATGATCATATTTCCTGTTAGGTGGTAATTGAGTAGGTTCAACAAACAAGCTATTGTATTCTTGTAACAGGTTCTCCAATTCCAGCTGCTGTTGTTCATCCAAATCACCAGTATTTTCAGGTATTATGATGTTAAAACAGAGAGGACTAATGATAGGAAATAGCATTGCCTGAATATCAATTGCTTTAAGTTTTCTACTATCCTATAGCAGTAACTTGTTCTGCGTCTCTCCTTGTAATGTTATAGTGTTCCCTTCATGCTGGAATTTCATGGTTAACTTAGCACAATTCCAAGCAATTTCACCCAATATTCGAAACCATTGCATGCCAAGGATTATGCCGAATGTTGTGCCCGGTAATACTAGAAAATTTGCTGTAAAATTGTGTGCACCAAATTTCCAAGTTAGCTTTTCGCATTTCCTTGAGATCGTAATAGGTGTGTCACTAGCAACTACAACTGGAAAATCTTTAACAGGTTGAGTTTTTAAGCCCAGTAACTTCACCCACTTAGCACTGATGAAGTTATGAGTGCTTCCGGTGTCCATTAGGAAAGGTACTGCCTGTTTTTTAATGAGACCTTGCAACTGAAGTGTGTTGCCACCTGCTATACCCCTCAAAGCATGTAAAGAAACATGCACATTATCACTATGCAGCATTGCTAAACTGTTTTCTACTATAGATTCATCATCTTCATCTTCACTAACATCTGTGTTTTCTTGATTGAAGTTTTCTTGGGCACAAAAAATCGCATTTAATTTTCCCCAAACTTTACATCTTGATCTATGATTTTTCTCCAACTTTTCACCACAAAATCTACTCAATCCTTTGGAGATTCTCTCACTAGCCTCTTTTGTAGATGAAATAGAAGTTGAGCTTCCCTTAGAGTCCGGATAAGCTTGATTAGTAGTGGAATTATGAGAGTGATTTTGTAGTGTTGTGATGGGTGGATTTCTGGATGTGAATGGTTGATTAAGCCATGGTCTTGTGTAGCGAGGTTGCACACTGGAAGTTACTGATTTCTCTGTAGAGATCTTCTTGTCTAATTCTTTATTAATATCATCTTGTAATCGTGCTAGACGTATTGCTTCTTGGATGGATTTGGGGTTATGAAGACGAACTGATTTCTCTAAATGGCTTTCCAAACCTGCGAGGAAGAAACTGAGAGCCATGCCTTCAGAAATCACCACACGCGCTAGCAAAGAATCAAATTTTTCAAGATATTCAGGCAAAGATTCTTATTGCCGTAAGCGCGAGATTTCAGCAATAGGGTCATCGTAGGCTCTATCATCAAATCTGTTTCCTACATCAAGCAAGATATCGGTCCAAGATTTCGACCTGAAGCTGGGGTTTTTGATATAATGTCGTTGCCATGCAAAGGCGTTGCCTTCCATGGATAACAGGAGCAGTTTCCCCTCTTTGGTTCACTGGTGTTCCTTCTAATTCAAAAAATTGCTCTGCCTTGGCTCGCCAAATCCTAAAGTTTGTGCCATCAAAATTGGGAAATTGAAGCTGTGCGCGATGTAATACTGACATAGTAGATTCGCTTTCATCGTCGTTCGGAGGTGGAATGTTGGTTCCCGCTGTTAACGTCGTCACGGAAGCTGCTAGAGTCTCCATAGTTTTCTGCATCGCCAGCAATGTCTTATTCGTTTGTTCTTGTGAATCTGCAAGAGATTTCTCAAAGGATTCCACACGCGTTTTGAGTTCCTTGTTGGTCACCATGATCGTTGCCTTTCAACTGATACCAATTGTAAAGAAAGATTCTTGCCTTTCCCTACCTCTCTCTTCTTCTCTGATGAACAAAGATGAAAGAGAAACAAACTTCTTTTTTTAATTTCTGAATGATGATTGACTTTACAAAGAACGACTTATTTATAGCTTCTGGTCCCTATGAATCTTATCTAATTTCCACTTTTATTTCAGAACTAACTATTAAAAGATAAAACAGAATTTATAATAAAATGACATATGACAACTTATCAAACAGTGAATTTTATATACCTCAAGTAACTGAAAGAAAGTTCATTTATAATGAAATGTACACACAATACAACAAATCATGTTAGGAATAACTGGGTCAAAAAGGATTTTGTCCTTCTCTACGCAGGATAATCAGTTTTACATGTCAGTTGTTTTGGCGTTTTTGTGTGTAAAATAATTTAAGGCTTGATATGGACCTGAAAGAGGTGCACTGATCCCTGCACTGAAAAATCCCAAGTTATTTGTAACTGCATGAAATACTAGTCTCATGATTTTTATTTTTTTTTATATTGCCCTCAGTTTCATTTTATTTTTGTGATCCACTTCCCGCAGTGCATCTATTTTACAAATCAGTATACGAAAAATGTAAAAGCAAATATTTGACGGCTTTATTTTTCTTTTCTTCCGTTTCCCTGCAGCCACAATGCTGAACCTGTTTAATAACTTCCAACTATATAGAAACCCAAGATATAACAGAAACGTGTCATTGTTAACATTGTCAGAGTTCTTGAACTTGACAAAAGGTCATACTTCCCTATCAGGTGTTGTGATCATCATTGAGGTGCGTTCTGTTCGTGCCCGTTTATTTCAGTAATTCAGTCTTTAATTCGTTCCATTGGCTGTTAATTATGTGAACATGTAATATCTTTGGTGAAATGCAGCCATAACTGTGTAAGCCATGTGGTAAAACATGAAAAACCATTTGTCGTGATCCATGAGAGGCATTAATGTCATCCTTGTGAACACCAAGGTAACGAGGAGAGAGTCAAGGAATTGTTGGCTGACTACCTCTGAATGTTCTAATGAACTTTGAGAAAAATGAATACAACATTAGAGAACTAGATGTAATTGGCATTAAATTAAACTATGAATTTTCATTATTTAGTATGTCATGAAAATACGGGTAAAATTTCAAGTTTGTGAGTTGTATTTCTGTTAATAATTTTGTTAATTTAATACTGTCTCTAAAATGTTTTGTAATACCTACAATGATCAAACGCCAATTGGCTGTGTCACCATAAGAAGTGTTTGAATTTTTTCCTTCTCCAATTTCAGGTAAAGATTCCTTTTTACACCATTTTTGCTTTCCTGAACCTTGGGTCTCCATTGATCCATAGTAGGAGCAAGACAATTAACAAAATTCCTTTAATTTCTGCTATTCCCTAAATTCTTGTCCAGTTATGCGGTCCTTTGCTAAATTAGCAACAAGAAGATACTTCAGTTTCTAAATCTTAAGATTTTTTAACTAACGGAACTGATGGTGCAGTTTCTCATAGCTTGTTTTTACTTTGCCAATCTGCATTTTTAAGAACTCTAATGGTTATCCTTATCTCCTTCACAATTATCCTGTTCGAACAATGATAAAACAATGGGTTTAATTGTAGCTCCATAAAAATTGTGGGCTTTACATTTAATATTTCTTCTCCCGTGCTCCTGAATTATTAAGATGTGTGGAGTCCACGGCCTTGTGACCGAGTAGAACTTGCCATGGTCACAAGGAGGTTGTGGTGCTCAGATGGGGAATTCTATTTTTGGAGGAGGAATGACAATAGTAGTGTATTCTTAGAATGTCAATGATAAGATAATGAATTTCTATATTTATTTTCTCTCATTTTTATTGAAATAATGTTGTTTTCTACTGTTCTCAGAATGCACCCTATCTTGCAAGGAATCAAAACTTAAGCGTGATTGATGCAGTCATTGATACTTTGAGCAAAGGAGGTTATGATAAACTAGGGACTCCAAACGTTATGATTCAGTCCACTGATAGTTCTGTACTACTGAAATTCAAGGAGAAAACCAAGTATGAACTTGTCTACACGATTGATGAGGTAGTTAGTGATGTTGTGGATTCAGCTATTTCCGATATCAAAAGTTTTGCTCATGCTGTACTTCTCAAAAAGGTCTGTGTGTACCCGAATAATGAAGAATTCCTCCTGACTGGCTCTACAAAGATTGTGCCGAAGTTCAAATCTTCTAATCTCTCCGTTTACGTACGAACATTCCACAACGAGTTTGTATCTCAGGCATATGATTTCTTATCAGATGCAACTGTGGAGATCAACACGTTTGTTCAGGGTGCTGGAATTGATGGTGTCATCACAGACTTCCCACAAACAGCCAATAGATACAGAAGTAAGTGCATACAAAACCTTTATTTTTTGTTCTTGTAATTAGAGGTGCAATTTTAACAATATTTGGTTTTGATATTTATGTTTAATCACTTTAGGCTTTAAGCACATTTTACTTCCAGTTCTCTTCAATATTTAATGTAGTAAATTATCCTTCATATTTCCCGTAGCCATAGCCATATAACAAACAGTTGATTACTATCAACATAATGTGACATGACTGGTAGATAACTTTCTTTATGTGATCAGGGCTTCAATCCCTGATCATCCATGTACTATGTAAGAAAGAAAGAAAAAAAAAACACATCTAATGAGAAGGGATCAACTGAGTCTCACTCTTTTTGTTTTCCCTTAATCAAATTCAGATCTACAATTAAGTCTCATATCTGATTACTGATATGATTGTTCCTCATCCTACTGCAGGGAACAGATGCTTAAATTTGGGTAACAGCACACCTCCTTACATGAAACCAATTGAAGTAGGTGGCCTTTTACAACTCGTAGACAAATCTTCCTTACCACCAGCTATGGCTCCAGCCCCTACCCTGACTGAAGCTGATGTTACAGAACCCCCTTTGCCTCCTTTTTCTAAAATAGCCCCATCTAGCCCTTTTGCTGGAGCTGGACCTGGACCAGAGGCACAACCACCACAAAATGCACAGGCAAAGGTTGATGTCTGCTTCTTCATGTCCTCTCTGACTGTGCTTGTAGCTTCTCTTCTACTTTGAGTGGTGCAGTCTTGGCTAGTCTAGCTATAGCCTCTATTTCCCCATTTCTTTCTGGGTTAGGTAGAATCAAGCTTTTGGCATCACACTGTTTGTGTATCAAGCTTTTGGCATCACACTGGGTTAGGTTAGCTTCTCTTAAGTTTATTTACTTTTGTGTGTATTGCATATTAACAGCAGTCAAATTGATATTTCAAGTATTTAAATGTGGTTACTATGTCATGTATTGGATGAGAGTCATAGTTTGTGCGGGTATAACTGATTCTTGGACGGAGGTAATTGTTTTCAACATTAGTTAATTTTATTTAACTTTATGCGTGTTGCGTGTTTACAAGAGTCAAATTAATGTTTCAGGTATTTCAAAATTCATCTCCATTGCCAAAACATGATATATCACACAAAATTAGAGAATAATGGATAAGGTTTTTCGTTCAACAATTCTAGTACTTAGTTTGTAAATTATTGTTGATATTATATTGTGTATATTATGTAGTTTAGGTAGTTTGGTTTACTAACTTTTAGTTTGTAATAGCTTTTAGTTTATAATAGTTTTTAGTTTATAGGTTATTGTTTGTATTATATTATTTTATTATGTAGTTTAGGTAGCCTAGTTTTTGTACTAGCACGGTGTATTAATTTAACTTTTGTAGTTTGAATGATATATAATACTAATTTTTTTATTTACTAACTAAAGAAACTTGAATCTTTGGACTGTCTGGTTATGATATATGATTGCAAATTTTACTTGTAAGACAAAATAAATTCAATATTAAAAAAAAGGACGAAATTTACATCGGACATACACATGTGCGACGTATACACATATGCAATGTAAATTTATGTCGCATATGTGTATGTGCGACATAAATTTACATCGCATATGTGTATATGCGACGTAAATTCCGTCCAATTTTTTTTAAAATTTTGAAGCCTTTTACATATGTTTAGTGATATATGCAATGTAAATTAACGTCAGGTCTCGATAACTGATATGAATTTACGTCGGTCAAAGGAACCAACGTAAATTTACGTCTCACATTTTAACGTCAATCTTATAGGTGACGTAAAAAGTTCAAAATAATCGACGTAAAAAACCCATTCTCGCACTAATGATGGGTTAAAATTGAGAAATTAGGAAGTTTTTTATATAAATAACATAAAAAATATTTAAATAAATATTTTATCAATTCATTATTAAATCAATTTATTTTTCATGTACATAATTTTCGTTATATAAGAATTTGAAAAAAAAAACGAATTCTTGAATTTTGCTTATATAATCGAATTTCAAATCTAAATAATAAATTAGTATAATTGCCAAATAAATTGGGGAATGATCTATTTAAATAAATATTTTAAAAGTTTATTATTTATATAAAAAATAAAACTTTAGTATACATATGAATATATAAAAATAAATTATCATAATAAAAGAAGAAGAAATATAAAATAAATCAATTAATTTAATCTTTAAAAATATATAAAGATTTAAATTTAATCTTGAAATTTAAATAAATTAAAATAAAATTCTTGAAAATAAAAATAGGAAGTCTAACAACTTTTGGGAAGCATTTATAAAGTGTGATTATAGTGGATCTTGGCTGGTGTTGGAACAATGGTTTCAAGTTAAAAAGTGTTATTAAAAGGTTAAAAATACCTTTCTCACTCTTTTCCAAAACACCTTCAAATATTCTTGATGCTTTTTATATACTAACATTATTAAAAGTTTTTTTAAAGTTTTGGAAAAGAAAACTTAAAGATTATGTCATTTAACTTTTTCAACACTTGTCATATTAATAACCATATTTAATTTTTCTGCACTATTAAGGTAAAACTTTGTACACTGTTAACTAATTAAAATTTATTATTAATATAATCATAAAAATATAATCTTGCACTTAATAGTATTTATTATTAATATAATCATAAGTTATTTATAATAAAAAATATGAATTTTTTTTAATTCTAAAGAATTTAATCTTGCACTTGAGACATGTGCCTTTCTGAATATATATAATTTTATCTAATGATTTGTTTATTTATTGTTTTCAAAATGAATTTTAATTTTTTAATTTTAAACTTAAAAAAATTATTTTAAACTTGTTTGGTTTAATTTTTTTTAAGTTTTAAAAAATAAGAGTTTAATTTTTAAAAAATATTTTTAAAATAAGATAAAAAAAACTTATTTAATAATTTTAGTATAAAAAATATTTTAGAAAAAAAATAATGACATAGATACTAATGAAAAATTATGATAAAAATTAAAAAACGATTGATGATGGAGGTAAATAATATAATGAAACTATTAATAAAAACGATAATATTATTAAGAAAAAAATAGAACAAAATATTAATTTCATTTTGTTTAGTTTTTTAAAACTATAAACAAAAATGGTTTCCTAGTTCTTATAAAATAATCATCACAATTTTTTTTATTAAACTTCAAACTTTATCCTATTAAACTATTTCTATTTTTAACTTAGGTTTTCATATTTTTCTTGCAATAACAAAAATTTTCATCCCTAAAAATTCTACTTACAATAAAGGTAAGATTCTTTTATGCTTTCATTCAGCTCCCAAGGGAAAACATTTTACTTATCATCCCATAACATCTTCATTTTGTGCTAATAAACCTACACCTAAACTGCCTAATCTGCTCATTGTTAATTCTAATTGGCCTAACTTCAACGAATAGATCCTCCTTAACTTACACCTCATCTACCTTCAACACATAACTCAGGTCATATACAAACTTTCTCAATTGAAACACATAAAATACACAATATAGGTAATTGAGATGATAAAACAATCTCATATATCATTGGACCATTCATAAAGGTGTCAAAATATATTTAACGATGGACCAACTCGAAATGTTTGAGAAATAAGTTAGGATAGATAAAAAAATTTATGGCCTAAATTGAATCAAGCATATTTTGTCTTGGTCTATTTATGTTATGACCTGTATTGGTTTAGGTCAAGTTAGTCCATAGGTTTATGGATCGATCCATTTTATAGAATAATAATTTTTTAAAATAAAAATAAAAATAATATTATTTTATTAATATATATATATATATATATATATATATATATATATTATAAATTAATTCGACAATATTCACTGATTCTAAGAGTAAATATCAAAATAAATTTCTAATGATCACTTATGTCAAGATCTAATTATTAATATTAGTTACTATTTTAAATTAATAAATTATTAAAAATAAATAATGATAATAAAGAGGAAGTTTTTAATTTTTATTGAATTGATGCATTCTCTTATAATTTATATATTAAATCTATATCTTAAACAAAAACTAATTTTATTAATAAAATTTAAATTTTCAAAATATTTTTTAATTTTTTATTTAAATATATTTTTAATTAATTGATTTTGTATAGATATGTTAATATTAAAAAAAAAATCAATCAGGCTAAGATTGGTCTATTAGTCCATTAGCCTAACATAAGGTTAGACTAAGCTAAATTTTTTTGTCCATTTTAAAATATAGGTAAGGTTAGACCATCAAATTTTTTCTTGGCCCAAAGGGCCAACCTAGGTTAGGTTGGGACACCCGTTTTAACAGCTCTAACCATTCATCCTTAGAATCTTATTGACCTAATGAACTTAGGATATAACTTTCTAGATCTAATGATTCTCCCATTATTAGTGGTAGGCGTTAATCTTAGAAACATATGGTCTCTGACTACAAACTCCAAGGATAGTCTCCTATAATCAATATGGGACTTTTACCTACTTTGAGAAGCTCTCATCCTCTCCTAAATTTGTCTAACCTTATGAGTAATCTACTAGAGCATTTCTAGTTTTATGAATATAACCTTCCTATCTAAATACTAATACAAAGGAGTCCTACACTTCTTTTTATATAAGGCCTCGTAATGCATCATCCCAATACTCGCATGATGGTTACTATTATAGGTGAACTTTACTAGTGGAATCATCTCAACGCAACTACCTAGATGATCTAGTGCATATGTCCTCAACAAATCCTCCAAGGATTGGATCATATTTTTATACTGACTATCTATCGGAGGATGGTAGACAAAACTGATCTCGGTCAAGTCCCTAAAGAGGTTACCAAAATTGAGAGGTTAATCTAGGGTTTCTATCTAATACTATACTGGATAACACTTCATGCAATCTCACTATTTTCCTTGATGTACAATTGTGCAAGTTTGATTATATAGTAACCCAAATTGCATCATGTCCTCCCATTAACTATGGTAATTGGTTAACAAAGTTCATGTGAATACTATCACCTTTTCACTCACAGACATGTAGTTGTCATAACATCCTTCCTATCTTTGATGTTCCACATTGACCTTTTAACAAGTCTAATAGGAAGAAACACACAATGTGACCTTTCTTCTCATATTGGGTCACCAAAAGGACTCTTTCAACTCTTGATACTTTTTAGTTAGGTCTAAATGTAGATTAAGCCTACACTTGTGACTTTCGTCTAAAAATTATCCTTTTCAACTTCTCATTTGTAGGATACATACAATGGCTTTAACCCTTAAAACTTCATCAGCTCCCAAAACAAAATTATTACCTTGCTTAGTCTCTAACAACTCCATAATATGTCTTAGGTTATGACCCACCAATTGACTCTTTTTGACCATTTTTTTAAGAAAATAATTAGTTATAGCTAACCTACTACAATTAATGTGGTTAGAAAATAGTTCAATCCCAAATTCAAACCTTTAAATTATTTAATCCACTATAGCTATAATTGTCCTCCTACTCAAGATATTTTCTATCATATTTTCCTTTCCAAGGTAATACATTCGTTGTAACTCATAATCCTTTGGGAAACTAATCCACCTATTCTACCTCATTAACACACATCTAAGTTTTTAGTATGATGTATCATAGTAAATCTTAAAAGGCTTTCCTACAACAAGAATCACCAAGATTGATAAACTGGTCAACCTCTACTTCAAGTCCAGAATCTCTGCTTACATCTATACAAAAGGAC